TCTCTCTCTCTCTCTATTTCGTGATATAGTGTGTATAATATTCTTCTAAACAAAAATATCTTTTATTATTATTTTTTTGTCTCTCTTTTTTATTTCATAGACTTGACACAACACATTACAACAATTCATTTGTTTGTAATTTTGAAATAAATTTAATAAAAATCAAACGGACATAAAATGAATTATTGAAATGTTTTTGAAGTTTAAACACACCAAACATATACACCATAAATACAATATTGAATAGTATTATATACGGTTATATGATAACTATATGGTATATCATAACTTATAGCACAACATTAGAATATTAAACATAAATTTATAAATATATAACTATAAATCATTGTTTTAAGCTTTCATTTTAAAAATAATTTTTAATGTTTGAATCTATGGTGTCTGTCATAAATATATTATAGTAAACTATTTGTAAGATTTGTGATCTAAAGTTATAACTTATAAGATATCTCATATTTAAAAAATAAATTACAAGTGTTCTAAAAAATGTATCATAAATAAAAAATTGTAAATATAATAATTAATCTTTTTTTAGATATTTGTTTATTTATTATAATTTATAAATGAAGTCTCTGTTTACATCATCTGTTTTTAAATTAAAAATTATTATATAATTTAATTTAGATATTAAAGTAAAGTAAAAGTGGATTAACAATTAATAAACTAAATAAATAAAATAACAGCAAAAGATAGTCTATCTGTCAATTAATATATTAGTAACTTTTTATATATGTATATTATTATGTATATCTTAAAGCCAAGTATTTATTGATTATTTATGAGTACTCATAGCAAAGTGTAGGCAAACTTTTATCTTTAAAGCCTTAACACCAGTTTTATGCATATTTAATGTGCCGACTGAGCACTGGGATGAGCACTGAGTTTGAACAGTTGATGCCTCATAGTTCTCATGTATGCATCAAAAGGTATTTGTATGCCATCACTGCCATCACTGCCTTCACTCTAATATCATTGTGATATCAAAATCCTGATCTCTACTTATCTCTTATCATATCATATCAAATGCACTCTATTTTTATATAACATACAAAAAATGAATTATAATAAGGTTTTCATGCAATCGTGCGTTAGTGAGAAACAGTGGTATTCATATATGAACCCACATATTGTCAAATCCCCTAAGATTTCATCAAAATATACCATTAATTTGTTATCTAAAAATGTTTTTTTAAATATCATTTTTATGTAAAGTTAGTTTTTTGTTATTATTTCAAACTTGTTTGATAATTTCTAATTTTGAATATATAATGTTATCTAATTATAATTTAAGTATAATTTTAAATCAATTTTATTTTAAATTTTTAAAATTTATGTTAAAAATCTAATATTACATAATTACAAAATTTATAAATTTTGAAAGTATTTCATTATAATATAATACATGGTTAAGAAAGTAAATGCAAACTAAAACAATAGATCAATCACTAGATGTGATTGAGATTGTAAATGAAACAATTTGTACAAATTATACAATTGTTAAGCCCTTTAGCCACACAAAACAAATGTTCAATAAAATGATTGCACTATTAAATCTCTTATCATATTTTGATGAATGAGAGTATCATTTTAACTATAAGCTATTGATTCAAATCCATGTGTTATCCAAAATGTATTTTATAAAATATTATTGTTTGTATTGTATAAACCAAATAAGCTGATAATTTTTCAAATAAATATATGAAATTTATAATCTCAACTAATTGATTCTCTTATTTAATTATATTGTAACTCTTTAAAACACGTATTATAATAATTTAATTATATTTATATATTACTAATAATATAAACAAATATTAGAAAATTATAATTTATTTATAAACAATATCATTTTATTAATATTATTAAATGTAATACATTTTTATAAAACAATTTTTATTTTTTAATGCAATACATCATATATCAAAGCATTAACATAAAAATAATGAGAATTTAATAAGTTTTTAAACAATTTATATTTTATATAACTAAATGCAAAAAAAGGTATGTATAATATATATATTTTATTCAAAATATTTAATTTATTCTTAAGGGTTGGTTTGTATAAAATGAATATATAATAAACTATTATCACTAATAATAATTTACAGCATATAATATTAATTTAGTGCATAAATTTGAAACAACACAAATATATTTTGCATTATCAATACATTATAACTATAATAGTGTATTGGATAATATAAATCTAAATATATTTTTTAATTATTATATAAAATACATAAAAATTGACATTATAATAAACCCCATTTTATTTAGCCATTAAAATATTTATATTGACATTATGTTAATTGAAATCCAATGTTAACTAACATTTTTGAATATACTTACAATAAAAATAAATTTTAAATTAGTAAATAATAAATGTAAATTATAAAAATAAAATAGATTTTAATTGTGTATAGTTTGCTTCATAGACTGTATATAAAGTAAAGTAAATTATAAGTTTTGATTTTCATGAATGAAACAAATTTCAAATATATTATTATAATAATTAAAATATAAACTAATAATTTGTTTTTTGTTGTAGTTATAATATAAAACCAGAAATAATAAGGCAATATATATTAAAAATAATAATATGAAAACATTAAGCATTTTTGTTTGACAATTAAAGACTCATTGAGGGCCTGAACTCTTTGGTGTCACGAAAATAGCGGCCTTTTCTTTGTAATTCAAAAAAAACTTTTGTTTAACATTTAGCTGAACCACTCGTTTTGTTTTTTATTTCTTACATAATAATAGCTTAAATTTATTCAAACAAAATTGCAATTCATTTTTTTTTCACTACAACACTCATCATTACAATTACTATAGCATTAATAAAAGTATTAATACTTTATAAAGTATAAAAAGTTGAGATAATCTAAAGGCACGGGTAATATATTCTTGTATTTGTCTATATATTTCTTGGAGGGGTTGGTTAGCGTACATAGCAATTGAAAATCTGTGTAATATATATACATATAAATTTTAAAAATAATTTTAATAGCAAGTTTAACAACAACAAAAAATTTTTGAATTGCATTGCATTTAGATGACTGTAATTAACATTACGACCCATTGACTGATTTGCATTTTATGCAACCAATCAAAGCCTATAATTTCGTACTTTTATTTCATAGGAGAAGAATATCTTAACATAAATGTTGTTTTGCAGGCAATAAACAATAAAAAGCTGTTTTTTAACATTACTGAGGAACTGGTGATTACCAACCAAAGCACCCCTTCTCTCATATGGGGCTGTGCTGTGGCATTGAACTAACGACTAATGCACTCCTCGTGTGTGTACTGTATATGTTGTGTGTGTTTCACTAAATGATTGTTTTATCAAACATCTAATGACTAATTTAATGTCTAATGTTATATAGGATATTCAATTATATAATAATATTATTTATTACAAACATTTTTACTTATTATTATTATTATACACATTTATAATGTACAATTTAGCTATTTAAAAATAATTATAAAAGTTTAATATTTATTGTATTTTATATTGTTTTTATACTGTATTAATATTAATAGAAGTTTTATTTAATAGACTTAATGTGTGAAAATTTTAAACTGTTTAAGTAAAATATCTAATATATTTTTCCAAGTACTTAAAAAAAACATTTTTTTGTGCTACTTTATGGACACAATTGTAATAAAATACAAACAAACAAATTAATTAATTAAAAAAAGTTATATTTTCTGTATTAACATTCATTGAAATTTATTAATATTTATATAATATATATTATATAAATATTAATAAATTTCAATGAATGTTAATATTTTTAATGTTTACTTAAATATAATTAATTAATTTTATATTGAAATTTTTAGTCTACAATAATTAGAATTAAACAAAATGTATATTAATTCATATTTAATGAAACATTATATTATATATATTATATATATACCTAATGTGTTCAACTATATGTTAATCTCCTATACAGAGGTGTTTCATTAAATGTGAATTAATATACATTTTGTTTAATTCTAATTATTGTAGACTAAAAATTTCAATATAAAATTAATTAATTATATTTAAGTAATCATTAAAAATATTTATTATTATTATCTAAAATTGTAGCTTTCAATGATATTGTATTTATTATATATTTGTAATTGTAATAGTAATAAATATAATTATAAAAATTACAATATTCATAGTAGACTCAATTAATAGACTTAGTTATTAAATGATTTTACTAAAATTTATTTTAATCCTTTAAACATCAATTCAAATCTTGTCAAATACCATATGTTAGTGTTATTATAAACTTATTTTTTGACATTCAAACAATTATACAACAATTTATAAAAAATTAAAGTTGATAACATTAAATAATAAAATCAATGAAAAAATAAATAATTAATTGAATGAACAAAAAATAAAATATTTTTCTTAGACTATCTTAATATTGATATTCACAGTGACCTTGCTTATATATTATAACTAGAGCTATGCATAAACGGCAATTCCAGAAACTTATTATATATTAAATCGTCGGAAATTTCATATTTATACAATTGTTAACATTTAGACTGAAATAAACACCTATTGTTTTCCTGATTTTGAGTGTTTTTTGGAAAAATCCCGAAAAACTGTATAAAAGTGTTTTTTGCCGAAATTAGACAATTGTGTCAAAATGTATACCTTAACCAACTATTGACTATCAGTACTACTGATTCAGTAGTATAGCAAATAAACAAAATTTAATTTTCCGATTTTGTCATTTTTTACTCCCGATTTTCCGACCGATTTTGACCATTTAAACCCCGATATTGCATAGCTATAGTTATAATTTATAGGTACAGTACAGTATAATAGCATTAGTCTAAAATATCTTCAACATAGCCTTCAATTGATATTTGTGTACAAAATATTTGAAAATAACACCAAAAGCGCAAACTCATAGATAAGGTGGCATTGAATTCATTATTATAAACTATTGGCAATCAATTTTTAAGTTATTAAATATAATTGTTTTAAATAAATTTTTTAAAAATATATGTATAACAATTTGTTATTAACAAAATGTTGATTAAAAATGTCTTACAATTTCGGTATAAATTATACTTCAATTTGGTCAACAAAATACAAGGTATATCCATAATTAAAATAAGTTTTTATTTAGACATTATAAGTTATAACTAATATCATACATATAATAGTGTATTTAATAAGATGATTGCTCATGGTACTATATCAATTACTAATATTGATATAATACATTGAATACATATATAATTTAATATAACTTAAATACTTTAATTAATCAATAATATGTTAATGAATTAAGCATGCTAATTATTAGAATATTTGCACTAATATATATGTGTGTGTTGTTGTCAATACAATTAAATATATTTTTCACGTTTATTTGCCATCAGTTTAATCTAATAGACACTAACACTTGTTAAGAAAATTCAATTAGTTTTAATAACAATAATATCATATATCTGTTATTTATGTTTATAAAATTTATCCATATGGATATGTTAATTAATAATTATTACAAATTTAATTTTTTTCATTTTTATCAAAAATGAATTTTGTATTATAAAATTATTATTTTTTATATTATTTGGTAAATTATGATTTATTTATTAAAATATCAAATATGAACCAAATATTTAGTGCGAAACACATCACAGTCTTCAGTCGGGTTCATTGGATTAGGAAATATGGGCTCAAATATGGCTCAAAACTTATTAAATAAAGGACACCGTCTGGTTGTTTATGATGTATATCCAGAAGCAATGGCAGCGCTTGCAGATAAAGGTGCTCTGATAGCACACTCACCAGCAGATGTGGCCAACAAATGTGATAGAATTATATCAATGTTACCCACATGTGCTCACGTAAGACAAGTATATTGTGGTGATAACGGTGTGTTAAGTCAAGTAAAAACGGGAACACTTTTGATAGACTCGAGTACTATCGATCCACAGACCTCTCAACAAATGGCAAGTGAAGCGCAAACAAAAGGAGCCGTCTTTTTGGACGCTCCCGTGTCAGGTGCAGTGCCGGCTGCCAGGGCGGCGACGCTTACATTTATGGTCGGCGGAAATGCCATCGAAGTTGAAGCGATCAAAGACTTATTGTTATCTATGGGTAAAAACGTGTTTCATTGCGGACCCGTGGGAACGGGTGCTGTGGCCAAGATTTGTAATAATATGATGTTAGCAATTTCAATGATTGGATTAAGTGAAACATTAAATTTAGCCAAAAATCTCGGTCTTGAACCCCAACTTATGACCAAAATATTAAACGTCAGTTCAGGTCGTTCCTGGAGTTCTGAAGTGTATAATCCGGTGCCCGGTTTAGGCCAAAATCTTCCGGCGGGTAATGAATATAAGGGAGGGTTTATGACTCAACTTATTACTAAAGACTTAGGTTTAGCACAATCTTCTGCCACAAGAGTTAACTCTCCAACACCTTTGGGAACACTTTCCCATCAAATTTATAGACTAATGAAAAACAACGGCTATTCCGATAAAGACTTTTCCAGTGTTTATAAGTTTTTCCAAGATTTCGACCAAAAAAGTTAATTTACATATCAATGGAAACAATACATTCCTAAAGAATCTCGTTTTAATATTAAAAAATCTCTATTTTTCAATAAAATTGTTAATAAAAATCATTAGTTTATATTTCTATCACAATATACAGAGATTTAAAATTGGGTAATAAATTATTTTCGACTAAATTATGACTAAATATAATTAATAATTTAATTTAATTATTGAAATGGATATTATATCAATTGATGTAAACATTTCAAATTAATTAAAATATTTAACAAATTATCAAATGTTCTGTTCGTCAATAAAAGGTATTTCTTTATCTATTTCGCTGTTATTACTATTTAATTGATGTTTGTTTTCACTTTCTTGGTTAACATCTTCACTACAATTGATTGTCTCATTAGAACCTGTTTTTGTGGTCGAATTCACAGTCTGTGCATCAATTGACTCATCACTTGTGTCAGATCGCACTCGATTTTTATCACTGTCTTTATTATTGTGGTTATCGTTATGAACGTCATTAAGAGTCGATATTTCTTGAATATTAGTTGTCTGTTGATTGCTTCGTCCCCTTTCAGATTCGGTATCACTTTCTGGTTCATCTATAACTGGTGGTAGAGATGTCCGTTGACTTTCAATGCGAGGAGCGATTGGTCTGACCTTTCGGGGCGGATTAAATTGTTTGCAATAACCGCACTTATACTGAATATATTCAAATTCATCCTTTAATGCCATACCGTTATGAGAATAGCAATGTATACATATGAGTGCATATCTATTATTAGGTCCATCGCCTACAACATAATCCACCAGTTTATCCATAACTGAACGCCTTTGCGGTAAAATAGGTTTTATTAATCGAACGGGTGGTGGCATTGCCATCATTGGCATTCTTTGTGGTGTCAATTGTGGACCTCTTATTAAATTTTGGCTAAAGCCTGTCATAGTTGGCCTCTGAGGTGTCGATGACATGATAGCAGGCATCGGACGAATGGGAGTATTCATAGCACCGCCGCCACGATATCTAAGTTGTGGATCTATTGATAATCTTGATTGTGTCGGTTGATTAAGTAAAGGAGTGTTGCTTAGCGTCCGAAAGGAAACGCCTTCAAAGAGAGCGTTTGGATCGTATTTCTCAAGAATTTCTTTGGCGTCCTTAAAGTTTTCAGTTTCTTTCACTTTCTCTAATATTTTCTTCTTTTGTCTTCTCAAATGTTTAAGCCTTTCATTGATATACTCTTGAATCCATCGGTAATACCAATGAAGTAATCTTTTTAAACCGTAAAGTCTGAAAAATTCAATAATTAGCAATAGATAATAAAAACACGTCTTCGCTATTTTACCCAAAGATTGTGGCAATAAATACAAGTAAAGCAACAGAATTAATGATCAGATTTTCTTTAGATGTATTGAAAACAATGTAATAACGAAATAAAATGAAAGCCGCGATCGTATAACACATGACTATAAACACTAAGAAGACAAATATAGCTGTCTTTTCACGTTTGGAAGCGCTTTCCTTCAAGTCTTGAAGCGATTCCATCTCATTCTCAATATCTTCTAATATAGCTTTTGTAGCCCTCTTTGTCTAAACAAATAAAATGTTATTAAAATAATAATTAATTTTTAATTTAAAATAAATGCCAAACAATACCCTAAATATAGACAATAGTGAACCCATTGTTTCAATGTTTCAACACTTTTACTCTAATTGTTATCAAATTTCAACAAAGATTATCATAACTGCAGAACAAAACAATTAAAATATAATACACTTCTTCATTAAATATGACATCAATGGTCACAATAGGTCACACAGAAGATCATAATAATAATAATTATGTCATATATTTGTCACACGTGTTCACACAACCAACACTTCTGGCTTTTATTTTTAATTATTAACAAATGTGTGACAAATCACAATCACAATCACAAATCACCAAAACATATGGTTTGTTGGATCAGATAATACACACAAATATCATTCAAGTCATCAAAACCTAATGAAGAAGTGATGGCAAAACACAACACTATTATTGAGTGATCACTCAGTCATTCAATTACTCATTCATATAAAACGTTACATTGTTTACACATTTTGTCATTTTTTGAAAATAGTTTTCATTTGAAGTAACAAATCAAACATCAAATGTAAATATAAAGTCATTATTTGACAATTAAATCGACAAAACTTTACATTTAAATACATTTTCTATTATTTATCTAATAATTATTAAAATAATAATAATAATTGTTTTATTATATATTGTTTATTATACAGGTTTAGTAAAATAGGAGAAAATAAATTAATTTATTATATTTAATAATCTATTATATTATTACATAAATAATTTACAGTAACTTTTTGAATGTTTTATTTTGTGACCTATTTTTATCATTTGTTAAATAATTTTGCAATAACTAAGTAATTATGATAAAAAATTGTATTAAATTTAAATAAACAATTAATATTATTTATAAAGTTTACCTAAATTTTTATCATAATGTCTGCTTTTATGAGAGTAACTGATTTTTATTAGCATTTTTTAGTTTAACTAAGTATTAAAGTTTTTACATTCAAGTAAAAGTTACCTAATTTTCACAATAAATCAATTAAAGTACAGTACAGTACAGTACAATATACAGAATATAACATATTTTGAAGCCTTTATGTAAAATATTGAAGTATTGATGTGTAAAATGATGTTTTTAACATTGGGTTAGTTAACACTAAATTGATCACTAAATGGTTAACACATGACTGAGCTTATAAAGGATCGATCAGTTAATGTTAATCGCAGTATATTTTCAATAACTATAAAACAATAAGAGATTATTTGTTTCTCAAAAGTATATTTATATAAGTAATTTGTTTGCATATACTGTATGTATGGATAAATAAAATTGTAATTAATAAAAGTACAAAATATTTTATTAAAAATCAATTTAAAAAAAAAATCTCAGTCTATTATTTAATTTTTCAATGATTTGAGTGAAATTTTTGTATTCAACTTAAAAGAAAAAAGTATCCAAATTTTTAGTATCTACTGTACTGTATATAAATTATTTTTATTATAATTAGGGTTAGATCAGATTCCCTCCCTCGTCTTATTTTCCATAAGTTCCTTATATTCCCTGTTCCCTAGGAATTCCCTGGGAAGACATTTCCTTGTGGTACCACCTATCGTACCCTAACTCACATTACATAATGTTTAATTAAAAACACGTTTGTATAGTAAATGTCTACAAAATGTATTTAATGTTTTTACTAAATATTTAATAATATTTGAATCATATTTTGATTGAGTTATTACTAACATACTGGTCCCAATTGAAGCACATAGTCATTGAGATTAAGTACTTTTTAATGTATGACAAATTATATATTCCCTTTCTAACGATCAAGGGAGGGAATATAATATATTTTCCATATTTTCCGGGAAAATTGGAAGGATTTTATTTGGGAACTTCCCTCCCTGTGAATCTCAATCTAACCCTAATTATAATAAATCCTATGCTAAATAAAGTGAAAGCTATTTATAGTATATACCGGATAATAATAAATCAATAGTACTGTACAGTACTGTAGATCAATAGTATAAATCAAATTTAGTTTGCAATTACTTTACTTTTAATTATTTCTAATAATCAGTGCATAAAATGACAACCTATTGAAAAAATAAATACATTTTAAAAATGTTTAATAATTATAAACTTGAAATCATGGTTTACAATACATAATTGAAAATTGTTTTTTTACAAAAATAATGACAAAATATAGTATAAATATATAATAAATTAGTAAATGTAGTTAAGTGTGTAAATTGTTATTAAATTGATTGACCCTCCAGTGTCCGCCACACAAGCAATTCTTGATCCATCTCTGATCCCACGCACGAGTAGCCGGAGATCGCATTATTGGTTTAAGCAATGACACTGAATTACAGCGACTACATGAGCGCAAGTTAGACGTGTCCTGATTGATGGCTCCCAATCCAACATAACGAACTACATCAAGTCGACGACCGGCATAACAATTGACTGCGCCATCAATTAAATGAGTTTTAGCCGTAAATTTTAAAAACGACGGCTCAATGAAGTACTCAAATTGTAGAGGAAGAACATTACTATAAAGTGCTGGACTCGCTATACCTATAGCTTTGAGGCATAAATTTAATTGAGGAATCAATACTTGATTTGGAAGAAGACAGCACTCATCCAATAGGCTTTCATCGAGATTTTCAGTCACTGTTTTAGACAATAGTTTAAAGAGAAGAGAAATGACATCTAAATTATCCTGCATTTTGGTGAATATGGGTAAACAACCGGAATTTATTAGACCCCAAAATCTTATTATCACCAAAAGCTCTCTTAATGTATTCAACGCTTTTGTATCAAATATTAATCCGCCCTATAATTAAATGAAACAATAATTAATATTATAACATAAATAATATACAGTATTGAATATATTGATACCCCTGGAAATCTGAACTGATTGTGATGATACTGTTGAGGAAGTGATGCCAATAAAAAAAGGGTTAGATCTGCTATCCATTGATGCAAATGTTGAAATGATTGCAATATCTGTGGTTCGACACAAAAATCCTTATTTTCTAAATTCATGAGAATTTTGTCGACATTCATGAATTGCAAATCATTGCCTTTATTTTGTATGAGAAGACTGAGGTTTTCAGCGGGTCCTTCGTTTTCGTGGTTATCGCGCGGCCGTAACAGTGACTTAAGTGTGGTTGCGATGGCATTCAACATAATCAGTGTATAAAAATCTCCAGCTTTACATTGACCGCTATTGTTAGCACTACTGTTGTTAAGACACCGATACAGAGAAGCTTTAATTGTAAGGAAACGACTCAACCATTTTTGTTGTCCTTCTAGTTGTTGTTTATTCATAAAAGATTCGGTGATTCTTTCGCAAACACTTTCGATAAGATTTGGTTTTAAGCTAACGATAACATCCCACCAGTCGTTACCGGAAACCAAACAATATTCAAGCATTGTTTGAGCGTAATTAGGATTCATAGCACCGCCCGGGTCTGTGATCGGCGATAACTTATATACATAGATCTGTGACAGCGAATCAATGGCAACCATTGCACAACTACTCCAAGTGAACTGCATGTCTGAGATTGTTGTCATTGACGGTTGAGTTGTCAATGCCTTTTGCATCCCAAATGATTTGTTTGAATCGAGATTACGGTTATGAATATTACCGATATTTAAGATTACCACTAAATGCAAATTCTCTCTATAAAAGCATTTGATTGTATTGTCCTTAAATGCAACCAATATATAGGATGGCGGAGGACTCGTGTCAAATAATGAGAGTCTCGGTGTAGCAATTGAGACGACACTTGAATTTGCACTTGAACTGGTATTGTGCTGCCAAACAACAGTTTTAGGTCCCGGCACCGGATTATTCATATCATTATTATTATTATTTGTTTTGTTTTGAAACATTTTATGAATAGATACAGTTTTTTCTCGCAATTCCCACAATTCAACAGTAGATCCGTTAGCACCCGAAGCTGCTATAACTACAGCTTCGGCGGCTTCTCTCAAGACAAACTTGAGATGAGTGATCACACGATAAGCATCAGTGGTAAGTGATTTTGAGCAACTCATATAAAAGCTGGTATATGCTTGACATGTGATTTGACATCTTTGCTTTTCTTGAGGATTAGTGCTGGCGTTTATTTTAACAGTCACTCCGTAACAATTAATTGAAGAGTCGGCGCAACCATTAGTTGCAACTACAAGGAAATCACCATTTTTTGCATAACAAACGTCAACGCGTTTAAGTTTAGATCTGAAATGACCTAAGATTTCAGTTCCGGAGACAACAGTACCGTCAGACAAGAAGAGTGAGGCGCAGACGAGTCCAGAGCTAGAAATAGCTAAATATCCTTCGGTAGGTTTGCCACCAAACTGTCGGACGGAAGCGGCAAACTTGGTGTGAGTGTATTTGTCCAGATATGACACATTTATATCTTTTTTATCATAATTGATGCCAATTTTGATTCCGTTGTGAAACCAAATGGATGACAATATTCTTTCTCCACAAAACTGATGGACGTGTAGTAAATACCATTCACTGATTAAATAGTCTTTCATTGACCACAACTCTATATTTCCCGTCACGTCTCCAATCAATAGCTTAGTTCCGCTGATATCCCACTCGAGAGCTGTTATCTCCTCTAAGTGTGAGCTAACTCTGAAATTCAATTATCAATACAAAAGTTATCACATTTATTGACAACAATCATATCAGTCATATATATATGATATTACTTATAGGGATTATATGGTATGTTGAGGTCGACGACATATACATGAAATACCATCCATTTGGGCACTGATTCACTTAAATCAGTGGTCGACGTGAAGGCCATTATATTACCACTTGATATACAACATAATGGACTCAATTGTGATACACTTTACCATAAAATACAATACAAATAATAATTAATATCTCATTCATTATAATTAAATACATTTTATCATAATTACCATTCAGTGAATCCATTGTTTACACTTGAATTATGTCTCAATACTGAATAGATTTGATCCATGGCTTACAAGTGATTAAACAATACAAAGATATTATGATATTATGATATTATGGCCATTAAGTGATCAACAAATCTAATATCAAATCAAATCATAATAGACTTGACATCGATGTCAATGATATTGTCAATACATTAACACATATAACGTCACCCATTGTTTTGTGTAAAATACCGGTAATTACAGTACAGTATATATACTGTTATTATAATAACTTTATAAAACAATAGTTTATTAATTTTATTTATTAACAATCAAATATTGAAACTTCTTTATTAAATAATAAAAAATATGTTTATATTGTGTATTAATTTATATGTTAAACACCGCAAAAACCTTTTACAAAAAATGTGATATTATATGAAAATTTGCCCCTGGGTATAAAATATTAAAATGACCATATACTGTATTTTAGTTTTATTTATCACTATATGGAAAGATATACATGTACTTTGAAAAAATTATATGCAAATGCAGTCATAAAAAAGTTACATTTTGTTGAAAAAACTAGAAAATCTTTTTTAAAACGTTTTATTAAATTTTATATTACCGGTAAATTATCACTTATTTTTAAAATATTTAATTTAAACATAAAAACAGTATTTAAAAAGTTACAAAATCTTGACAAAAAATTCACATTTTTAACCAATGTTTTTATATTAAAACTTTTTGCTCAACTCTAATATAAATCAATTATTAAAACTTGTCGTATATTTAAATTGAACATAATATATAAATAAAACAATTAATTTTATGTTTTTATATAATTTGTAATACTAAAATCAAATAAATGTAAACAACAAATATAAAATAATAAAACTTTAACGTAATTTTATAATATATATTAAGATATCTATGCGTCTAAACCTATATTTTCCAGAAGCTCTTCAATCATACGGAGCTTATCGTTGGCCTCAGACATGGCTGAAAATGTCTGAACATTATTTGTAATATTATATCTGATGTCATCGATTATGTCAATTGTATCCGTTTCCTGACGACCTTTAACCTCCTGTAAAAAATAAATAATTTTTTGTTTTGCATAAATCAATTTTGACAAACCTTTGCATCGTTTATAATAAGATCCTTAAATTCCTCTTTATTTATAATCTAATAATTAAAATAAATGTTAAATGATTTCTTTTAAATTTGATTAAATGTTTAATATATTACTTTATGGAGATATTGTGCCATAAACTCTGCGCACTGACCCTCGAGTTTAGTTAATTGCAATAAACGAGAGGTTAATAAAGTCGATATAACATTATTAACAGTCAGATGTTGTCCAATAAAGTTAGCGCATTGTCTCTTCAAACCCGGCATTAAATAAAGATCGGCAGTCATTATGACTTCGTATGCATTTTTCAAATTAAACTAATGGTAATTAAATTTAAAAAAAACATAATAGTGCTAATCTATATAAGTTGAATGTCTAATTATAATTATAACATACCTGAGCACTATTTTGATAAATATAAGATGCAATTACCAGAAATGTTTGTATACTTATATAAAACAATTCAAATACTTGAATGCCATTAATTTGTTTCTTCGCTTCCATGAAGTGATCGTTAAATAATGCTTTGAAATAATCACTTCGACCGCTAAAGAAGACCTAATATATGATATACAGTATATATCAGTAATAATCTAATATCTAATAAATAATATACAAAATGACAACTTTATGACATTTGAAGAGTTGATTTTCTACATTAAAGTAAACATCAAAGAAAGTATACGACGAAAAATCTGTCAAAAATGGCAGCTCTGAGCCATCGATCCAAAAGTGAACATCTCTTGGGATACAATTCAAGTAAAGTATATTGAAGTGATGCGAATGGGTTTCAGATTCAACAGTGATTGTACTGACATTAGTTCCGGGTTTTGTACACTCTTTATAGACATTGAACTTAAAAACTTGTTTATAAAATGTTTTAAATATTTTAAAAACAAACCAAATGAATGTATCTTTTTGACGGAATCATCAATTTGTTGCAATAGTCTATAGAGTTTGCACTGTTTGACCAATGATTTCACATCTTCTATCAAATGAAGATCACATTCAAGACGACCGGTATATAGATATAGCAATAATATGTTGAAAGCCAATGGATTCACCTAATAATTAGTACATTATATAAATAATATTAATAACAATTTTGTTTGTAATTATTTTTACAGTAATAACTTACTTTATAATTGTTAATATAAATAATTTTCCTATTTTTCCACTTATTTTTAAACATATCATTGAAGTAATCACAGGTAACGGATAGTATCGATCGGTGGACTTTAAAGATCCGATTGTGTACTGAAAATATCACATCAAAATAGTCACCACTTTCTAGACATCTGATGATATATAAAATCGTTTGAATAAATCAATCAATTAGTTTATCACTTGATTGGGCATTGAATTACTTACTTTCTCAAGAACTCATCGTAATGGTTGCGTTGAATAGTTTTTGATGTGATCACCAAATAATCTTTAAGTAAAATATTTCTGATCTCAGGAGTCAGTGCTCCGTAAACACATCTTTCGCCGTCAAAAGTATTGGCCTCACATCTGGCACCTGAAAAGTGAGAGCATCTTCAGTCAAACTAACTGTTCATTAATACAACAACAAAATGGTAACCAAACCTGATTTAAGAAGATATCTGACGACATTAGTGTGTCCGCAAAGACACGCGTAATACAGTGGCGTTGAATCCCATTTGTCCCTCACATTCAACTCAACCTCCTTTTGATCGACAAGTTGTCTGAAAACAAAAAACAAACCAATTGTTTGATCACATTATGTGATGGATATAACTGTAGCCATACTTAATGATATTGAGATCTCCTTTCTTACAGCTCTGAAACAAGTCTTGTAAATCCATGTCTTAACAGATGATCACTAAAAACAAACCAAACGTTTGAATGTTTTCAACAAATCATATGATTTTGTTTTTCATTCATTACTGCCGTCTATTGCTATCAGAAATAGAATTTAAAAACAAATTTTATTATTTATTTAAACTAGAGATCAGAACCAAAAACCATTTGGTTTCAGTGAACCGCATAAAACCGAAACATTTTTCAATACGGTTTCGGTTTCTAATGTTTTTATTTCAATTTATTGTAGTTTTAATTGTTTTTAATAATAAAATTAATTAAAATCTACAGTAAGTTTGTGAATTAAAATAATAATAATAATTATTATAACTTTTAGTTAGTAATTATTTGCCAATTTTTACTAACTTTTATAGTGACTTAAAACTATTTTTATCACCTTTAAATGGACAACCTAATTATAACTATATATTATAGTATATTTTCTATAATAAATTTAAATAAATTTAAATAACTATTTATTATTATATATCAAAATTTTATATAAGATTATAACTAATACTTATTAATAAATTTATTATTTTATACAGTATATCGATTGTAAACTTATTTTATATGACGAGATTGAATACATTGAATAGATTGTAATACAATTAAAATTTTTTTACAAAATCCTGAGATGACAACAATGTATAATAATACATGTTAATTTTAAAGTCCTATTTATTAACTAAGTTATCATATTTACAATTAGAGTCTAAGCTTTACAGTCATTGTAAGCATTAAATATGATAACTTAGTTAATGAATAGGACTTTTATTACATTGTTGTCGTCTCAGCAATTCGTAATATAATTTTATTATAATGTATTTAATATATAAATAATATATTTATATTACAATAAGCGCACAATCATACCAACACTTTCATACAAACAATTGTATAGTTTATTATACGATAGATTACATCATGTAATTGGTAACACATAGACAACCATACATAACGTACAATATATTTATATATATTTAAAGTTTTTTAACATTTATAATAATTATTATAAAAATTAATTAATTAATTATTCAATAAATCATTATATATATATAAATATAAATCATAAATTATTAAAAAACATTAGATTCAATTATTTACTATAATTTTTTTTTAAATTGCAGAAATTTAAAAAATAATAATTATGAGTATATGTACAGGGTGTACGAAAATATTTGTAACTATTATTGTTAACTATAAAAATATTTAAATAATGAATTAAAAATAATTATGTAATGAATAAATAATTTATAGTTATAATTAATAATAATAATAATAAAATGATATCATTAGAACATTTATTTTAGCTAATCGATCGTCTAAATATTGTTGATAACTTATAATTGAACTAATAAACTGTAGTCATATTGATAACATAATTTTTAGATATTTAAATAATAATAATTTTAATATTATAATCAAAAAGTTATATATATATATATATGCATTATTAATTTTAAAAACGTTTTGAGTATTTGTTGATAATTTATTGGGAATTTAGAAGGAATTTACTCAAATTTGGTAAAAATTGTTTGAAAATGCAGTAAAAAAATTTCACCCCTATATCCCCTCAAACTTTTTTGAGTTTTTTGCCATTTTAATCCACCCTATACTCCCTGAAATCGAAAACCTTTAGCAACCCTGATATAGTTATATTTTAATTAAGTGTATAATAAAATATTTTATTTATTTTTTTATTTAAATTATTATAATTAATAATAGCGCGACATTTTAAAAGTATTTTTTTGTTACAAAATATATACATACATTTCAAAATTATATAGTTTATAAATATTTTTGAGTCACCCTGTACATATTATACAATATATTTGCAAGATATTTAATAATTTTTAAATGATAATAAAAATATATTTTATTAATAATTTTTTAATTAATTATTTGATAATAGTATAATTAATAGTTTTTAATTTTTATTTTTTTATCAAATATAACTCACACACAACTAGTTTTAATAAAAAGTTTTCTTTATTTTATAATTTTATATAACTATTTGTTCAAATTAATTATTAAAACTATTTAATATTTAATTTATTGAATTTATAATTTATACGAAACACCGACTATTGTGACCACATTTGCCCGCAAACTTGACCGCTAAATATGAGACCCGTGACCGACAGTGCCGTTAAAATATCAAAAATACTAATTTAACCGAAAGTGAGAAAAGCAAGCGATATGATCGACAATTTCGGTAAACAATTGTAAATAACTTTACAATTAAAATGAATGTATTTTTTAGATATTTAAAACTTTATTTGATAAAAAATATTTTTAATATAACTTTTTTTATTGTATGATTTGGGCGCAAAATAATAAATAGTTATTTATATGCATTTTTTATTGTCATTTCTATTGCTTATTAATATTTTTTAATGTTTTGGTTTGAAAGTGTTGGTATGAATGTGCGCTTATTGTTATAAACTATTAAAAATCAGTTTATTTAGTGCAGTCATTGTTTTGTATTATAACTGATTTAATGTAGTAATTAAATTATAAATTATGTAAATTAGTTTAACAATGTTTAACATGTATACACATTGTATAAATAATCAATTATATAAAAAATTATAATTGTGTATAAAAGTACAGTATATATACTGGCATTAGTTATACATATATCAATCGAAAAGTTAGGTTTGAGGTTGGGGTAGGGCTTAGTTAGTTTGGAAGGGTATGTATATTACAACACATAAATTGATGGTTTGTTGTGAGTGGAGAGTGTTTTGTGGACTAATATTATGTGTAAATCAAGCCATCAATAGTAACGAATTCACTCTCTTATAGGAGTATTACTCCATGAGGAGTGTCTACCGGTGCTTATGGATAGTATGCTTAAACATAGTTCAGTTAAAACGTAAAACCGGAACCGAAAACGGTTTTAGTTTTTATCTTTGTTTATGAATAAACTTTTTTTGGTATTACAGCTCAGGTATGTGAGGACAAAGAGGTGCCATATCTTAAAAAAGTATATGAGCTAGATCAAATATAATTGTGTTTTGGCAATTTCTAAATAATAGTCGTTTGTTCATAAATAACGTTGAAGTATGAAAACTTAGAAATTTCAAACTGCTATATCTGAGATGTATCATGGTATATTTTGATTTAATTAATTTTATAATATTCTATGACCTAAATGGAACATTATTCATATTGATAATAAATTACTAGATCAATTATTTTTGATATATTAAAATAAATAAACTTTACTATTACAAACTGTTAGTATTTATATGAATGTGTGTATAATTATAATTATTAACATGGTAGATTTCATAATTTTTATGTTCATTATAAGCATTAATTATACGATTACTTTCTTATGTAAAGCAATGCCATATCAATGTATTTACAATAAAATTAATTACTGTTCTTAACAATGACTAAAACAATTGACAATTTTGTTATAAAAATAAAATAAATAACTAATAATAGTCTCATAGCATTCATTTCGACGAGTGATTCAATAATATCGACGAACGAGTGAATGAATTCGATGAATGCATTATTGAAATCGACGTATATTTTAAACAAGTATTTATTAGCAATGTTTTACAATGATATACAAATAGTAGTTAAATTAATTATAAATAATTTTTTTGTTAAGACATGAAAAATAGACAGATATTGTATTTTTAGAAAAAACAATAGAAAAACATTTGAGTTTAAAATGAAAATAAGATTTTTTGTGTACAGTTTGTGACACTCGATATATACATGGATTTCAATAATGCATTCATCGAATTGTTTATCTCACCGTCGAATTCATTCACTCATTCGTCGATATTATTGAATCACTCGTCGAAATGAATGCTATGAGACTGTAATAATATCATTGAAAGCATTATCTGTTTATTAATTTGACTATTGGTTTGGTTATATGATTTCGGTTCGGTTTTTTGAAAATATTTGGATTTCATCTCTACTTATATCTGGCAATTCCAGAGTGACATCACATGACGTAATGACATGTGATTTGAATGTTTTGAAGGTCTGTCCGTTTAATACATTTATTTTCAAAGCATTACGTTTTGAATGAATTGAATAAATAGTTATTTGCTTTGAATTTTAGTATTCAATAATAAAACCATTTATTAATTGATTGATTGAAATATTGTTTTAAACTTTTAGTGTTAATAGATATGAATGGCTGGTAATGATGGCAAACATAGACATGAAGTACAGTAATGAGACAATTGTATGAAAAGACATTTTCTAACAAATAGTTTGTATGTTTGTCTTAGTTGTCTCACTCACATCGGGTCATCTCATCCCTGATAGCGGGGGCGACGGCCGGAGCACTGGCCAAGACTGTGATCGCACCACTCGATCGGACAAAAATCAATTTCCAGACCCGAAACATGTCATTCAATTTTCGTGAAGCCGTTTTCTTTCTGGTCAACTCATATCATAAATCGGGTTTAATGAGTCTCTGGAGGGGCAACTCGGCCACAATGGTTCGGGTGATGCCATACGCAGCCATACAGTACTCATCACATGAACAGCTCAAACATTTACTCAAAGTCGAGACAAACGCACAGAAGTTAGTCATTAATGTCTTTGACGTTTGTTTACTCGTGTTTTCATTTGTGATATTGATTTAACAGACGCCAAAACCCGGGCCGCAGTTTTTTGGCCGGTTCTCTGGCCGGTGTTGTGTCGACTACAGCCACTTATCCGTTAGACTTAGCGCGGGCTCGGATGGCAGTCACACACAAAAAGCAATACAAAGATCTGTCATCTGTTTTCAGGAATGAAAGGTTTGTGAACCTCTACCGCGGATTTGTTCCAACACTTCTCGGTGTTATTCCTTACTCTGGATTTGGTTTCTTTACTTATGAAACACTAAAGAGATTTCATTCAGGTTTGACAATCAAATGATTGCGATGTCAATCAAATAATTATTTTAAAAACATTTTGTTGTCTTTATTTACACAAAGAGTACACACTTCGTGAACCAAATCCTTTTGAAAGGTTAGCATTTGGTGCCTGTGCTGGACTTATTGGACAATCGTCTTCATATCCATTAGATATAGTTAGGAGACGAATGCAAACGAATAATGAATATAAGACTATTATGGGAACCATTAGAAAAGTGGTGACAGAGGAAGGTTTGATTAGTGGATTATACAAAGGTCTGAGCCTTAATTGGGTTAAGGGTCCCATTGCTGTCGGCATTAGTTTCACTACTTTTGATACAATTAACAAATTTCTAAAAAACATAACCGTTTTCATCAATAGATGACTTATTGACAAATGTTTTTTAGTTTTAATAAACGAATTTTTGTTGTTTTCTAATTGTTTAAAACTTTTTACAAGTTTTCTTATTTTTAATTTAAATAATTTTGTTTATAGGAATTGAATGATACAATTCTAGAAACTACTTGTTTTAATCTAATTAAACAATAATTTTAAATATTAAATAATTTTAATAGTTTTAATTATTAAATAAATGTCAATATTTCAAATCAATTACCGGTTTTGTAAATATTAATTGCAATAAATTATAATTTATATTAAAACATTTTCACTTGATTTTATAAATTAACGATACATTTGCAAGTCATTCATTGTATATAATATTTAAGTACACGTATTGGTATCAATGAGAAATGAGTTTAATATATGATAACAAGTGTCAGTCATTTAAAAATAAATAATAATTTTATCACATTTTTGATACTAAATTAAATGCTGTACAATATATTATAACATTTTTCAAATTAAATATCCTTGATTATTAAAAACTAATTTAAAATTTTTCCCAAAATAAAAGTATCATATATAAAAGTTTATTTAAATTGAATAAAATTAGTTTATTTATTAACTTTTCATAAAATATATTACCATAATATAAATATTTAGTCAATGATTATTAAATTTACAGAGATATGAATCGTTATTGTTATGAAAAAGTATTTATATTTTAGTTATTTATTTCATTATAAATAAAATCAAAATATAAATTCATATAATATTAATAGTATTAAAAATACCGGTAAATTTTTTTAAAGATAATTAAATTTACTTTTTAAAAATTCTTAGTTTATAATAAAATAATGTATAGTATATTATAATATGTATATTATAATATACTGTACATTAGTATTGATGTGATTTATTCAATATTATTATTATTTGATAAGTGATAACAATAAGTGGTTGAGTGACTCTTCAGAGTCTGATTTGTGGTTCAAAGAGCGCACGCCTTGTAATCGCAAACTACAGACAGACCCAGACATGTGTGTCAGTGATGTTTACGTGTCATTACAGAGACAGTACTTAACTGCTAACAACTGGAACTACTGTTATTGATTCAAGAAGTTATTCATTATTAACATTAATTTCGATGGAAATCAACCAACAAATGAGTGCCGAAGAGCAACAAATCGATCACTTCTTTAGTGAACTAAAACCGCCGCCAAATTTGGATGCAATTCATAGAGATGTTCAACAATTTTGCAATAAAAATAGTGACAAAAGGATTGTTTTGATAACGGTATTAATAATTTGATGGTTTACTTAATATATACCTAAATATATTGAAAATGTTTAACTGTTTAACTGCTTGACTACCAGTCCGGGGGAACTACAGTACCCCTCGAACACAACACCGTTCGCTTTGTCGACAACTTCTCTGCCGGAACTCGAGGTTCGGCTTCAGCTGAGTATGATTTTCAGTGATTTAATTAATTTTTACTTAAGTTTATATTATTTATATGATATTATTATTACGTCATTAACATTACTGTATTTAAATTTTATAGATTTTTAATAGATTTATATAAATTAGTTAATATAGTATACAAATTTTAGTAAAGTAACTAATTTATATTTAAAAGAATAAAATATTAAAACAATATTAAATGTAATTATTTTATACTATATTTAAAAATGACATTTGTAGTTGACATTAAATTTTAACATTCATAGTATGAATTTCATACTATGATATTTCAAAATAATTGCAAATATTGAATAAATTTTTTGAATTTTCCTTAAATTAATTATAGAAAAACTCCAAGGAAATATTTATTTTTATAATACATTTAACAATTATTGTATTAATATTAAGTAATAATTTATTAAAAATAAATTTTTAAAATATTATTATGAAAATAGATATTTTATAGAAATGGGATATTCTGTGATATTTTTATATCGTTTAAAATCATTGGAACCTTTTGTAAGACATTTAAATGCCATTGAATTTTTGTTGTCACTTCAAGTCAATGATAACAATGAAATTAAAAGTATAAATATATCTTTAATAATTATTATATTTATATTATAACAATTTTATATAACTTTTTAGTATCATCCGATATGTCAACTAAAATACTATCAAATTTAAAACTATTCAACAAAAGTAAAGACCACTTACTAAGCATAACATTCACGACATTAGCCGAGTATTTACACTGTTTGCGGGAAATTGCGTTAATATTGCAATTAAAAGGAGCGGATGTTATGCTATATTTAGCGGCCGCTGTCTCTGACTTTTATATACCCCCAGCAAATATGGTATTAGTAATGGATTTATTGAATTAATTTTAATTTTACTAAAAATCTAAACTAATCTCAAGGCAGTCCATAAAATACATTCAAATGACAAGTTGAGTATCAACTTTGAATTGGTTCCCAAAGTATTGCGACCACTCGTCAAGTTTTGGGTCCCAAACGCTTTTGTCATCTCATTTAAAGTAATAAATTGTTGTTAATTATGATTATAATTAAATATATATATGATTATAGTTGGAAACGGATGAATCAATATTATTGGAGAAAGCAAGGACTGCTCTCAACAAATATGGACACAAACTGGTGATCGCCAATGAATTAAATACAAGAAAATATAAAGTGACTCTTGTTTCCAATAATGACCACAAAATGATCACAATTTCCAATGAAGATAACATTGAAATTGAAGAACTTATTGTTAAAGAAGTCATTGAAAGACATAATACTTTTATAAATAACTCTATAAAATGAATATTTTCTAACATTTATTATTTTATATTAATATAACTAAATTTTTCGTATTTATACCGTTAAAATAATAATTTGAATTAGATTTATTAAATTTTATATAAATCTCATCTATTAATTATAATTAAAATAAGTAGTTTAAATAAAAAGAATAGTTATTATAAATTATAACAAATTTAAATTTTAAAATTTAAATCTCTGGTTATAAAAATTTTAAAATTAAGATTTAATTCATATGAAAATATAATAGAAATGCAGTCAATAATGTAGTGAAATATTTGTTTTAAAACCTAATCACTGGAAAAAACAAAACATAAGTACAGTATTATTATTATTATTATTATTATTATTATTATAGCAGAAAAATAGGAACAAACAAACAGTTGGGAGAAACAAGTTTTCAATCTTTTAATAACTGGTTTATTAAACGGCTTATGATTTAGTTATAGTTAAGAAAAAACTCATACAAAACATATAACATCCAAATGCTTACAAAAATGGCCACAAAATACATATTTTCATTATTTTTCAAACAATTATCATCTTTTACTGAAATGGATTTCATATTACTATAAGATCTACAAACTTGTCATTAAATTTTTGAAAAACAATTAGCTTAAGAAATGAATTTTATTTGGGAAAGAAAATATAATCAAAATTTTAATCAAAAAGTCATTTGTGAGTAAAATTTATATTATATAACTAATTATGAAATTTGTTTTAATTAATTTATATTATTATATATAAATTATTCAATCAATAGGTCTAACAATAATAGCCATCGCAATAGTTTTGATGATTTGTTTGTTTTCAAACTCTCCGATAATATTTCTAACATTTGTCACATTTTTTCTGATCATTGGATACATAATTCTCCGACTATTTTGTCCACAAATTTGTCCAAATAATAGGTCAAATATTTTGCCCCGATATCGGGTCACCAATGATAACACATCTCGGCTTTCATATACTGCTATAACAATACTGCCGTCGGCGCCAATATTGGACAGTAATAGCGATTTGGGATCAGATTATCCCCCAAAATATGAGCACATCTTTAGAGATAACAAGTGATTGAGTCATAAATAAAAAATTTGTTATAATTTGGTTTAAAATTTACATAAATTCACATCAATTTGTTTTTTCACGTCATTTAATTATTTAAGTTTTAATTTAATATTTTATATAATTATGTTATATTTTTATTATAAATTATTAACTAATAAGCTTTTGTTATTGTTATAAAAATAAAAATATATTTATTTATTTAATAAATTAGTTTTAATTGAAATCAATGTTGAAATTTAAAGTCAAATATAGATATATCAATGATATGTAAACTATTAATAGTAGTAATTAATGCTAACTTTCAAATAGTTTTGATTACATACAGTATATTGATTGATATAAATAAACATATTTTCAAAATTATATAATTTGACACAAAAGTTGTGTATTTAAATAATTAATAATATGATAACTATTAATCAAATACTAAGTCCAGTGTTTTAAATGTTACTTTAATTACTAAATTTTCAACAATAGAAACCTTGTAATACCCGTAACCCGAAACCCGTGTTAACTGTTGACAACTCTAATGTAAATATTTGTAATTCAATGCAATGTTGTGTACAATGAATGCAATGTTTTTGATGTATTGATTGTATGAATCATTGATATTATTGTCAAATGTGTTAAAAATGCCGACAATTAGTGACAATCAGAGACCAAGAGATGGTCACAAACCAAGTAATTACTAATATATGTATTGATAACTAATTAACTGAAATGAATATCATTTAAATGCAGATTTGGTGGTCTTATTGTTGTTTGTATTGATTGTATCGATAGTATTGTTTTATTTGACCAAAAGTGATGATTTGGTCGCATTTGTTATCATATGTGTCATCATTTTGACCATCTCTTCACTCGTAATATGTTGTGTCCGCTGTTGTTGTCGCCGTCGTCTGAGTCGAGGAGCTGTTCTTAGTCCACATTTGGTGGTCACACAAGTCGTGACTAACGGAACTACTGGTCAACAAAATAGCGCTAATAATGTGAGAACCGCTGATTTAAGACATCAAATGACATCACATTTACGACAACACACAACACCATTGATGCCATCCATGACTTACCCACCAGTGTCTTGTATGCCAACTGCGCCACCAATAGATGAATCAAGTGATAGTCAGTGGTCTGATAACCATAAGTTGCCGACTTATGAAGAGGCTGTTCAGTCCAAGTATTGACCAATTGGTCCACATTTGCCTTATATTTGGTGATAATATTGTTAAAACAATAAGAAAGTGATTCTCATTTTTGAAATATTTTTAAAACTAAAGTAAATACTCAATCTATTTATGTATAGGATATATATATATATATATAATATAAATATGATATAAAATTGTCAAAAACAGCCAAATTTTGTTGATTAATAATAATGTCATATAAAATAAATTTATGTTATTTTGTTAATTCAATTTTATTTGAATCTTATTAGGAATAAATGTTAGATTTTTATATTATATAGTATTTACAATAATATATTATATGATATTGTTTTATAAGATTTAATAAAAAGTTTATATTATTAAATATATGGTAAATTGTTTTAATTAATTTTTTACTAATAATTTTAATATAGACTTATTAAGATAACATTTATATAAAAATGTAAAAATTAAATAATAATAACTGAAAATTCCAGTCGACATTCCACTCATTTAATTAAATTATTATTAATAAACTATAAATGTATTACTATTTAAACTTTAAATTTTAGAGCATTTAATGTTTTATATGGATTATGATCTCCAATACATACAGTTTGCAAACCTTCTTCCAGAATGATATCTGCATTTTGATGTACTTTAGTGTAAAGTCTTTTTCTGATTTGTTAGTCTTATCATTTGACGTCTTCGTGTAATACAATATGACTGTAATAACCCATTTCTCGGATCAGATGTCTAATAGTGTTGTTGTGACACAAAATGTTTGATTCGGCCAACTCTTCATTTATCTCATCGTTTGTTAACTTTTTATTTTTTTGTTATAATTCTACTCAAAATCTGATCTGTTTTTGCATTTTCTACATTTCCTATCACTTTTAACTGTTCCATACTTTTTGACTTTTAGTATCGATCGGATGTATTATCTTTGAACACATTTGCTATCTTTGTGTATGACTTTCCTGTGCTGACTGTCCTGTCATACATTTTTTGACGAATTTCATCTGAAATAGTATTTAAACCATTTTGATGATTATCACTGCATTTACTACTTATTTAAGTGTATTTAAATCAATAACAATGCATTGAAACAATTGGTCCAAACAATGTGTCTTAAATCACGCGCGTTTCAAAAACATGAAAAATATTTTTGTACGTAAATTATTGACACCTATAATTTTACCTTGATATATTTGATTATTTAAATATTAGTTTTAATCATATAGTATATCAATTTAATTGTGATTTATTACTCTTTTATTTGATACTAAATTTGTCGATTTTTCTTAAGTAATAAAAGTTATTAAATTTTAAAGTTAAATGATATCAACATTTTTGTGACATGAAATTAACTTATATATACAGTATATATACTATTAATATATATATAGTGTATATTTATAATATTTAGTTTTATATAATGAAACAATTATTAATTTAAATATAAAATTTTATTTAATAAATATTATTGAAATTTTTAGTGACAAACATTTACAGTATTTGTATTGTTAATATCAAAATATCTAACGATTTTCAAATTAATTAATTATTACTTAATTTAATGCATTAATAAATATGTCAAATAAGTTGTTTCTCAAAGTGAACCAAATTTATCAATACTAGCCATACATATAAAGTATGAATTAAAGATTTAGGGCAACAAAAGTTGTCAATTAAAACAAGTTATACACTATTTTCAGTAGTAAACTAATAATAGTTTGCATCAAATTCATGGATTCCCCAAAATTTAGTAAAAACCAACACATAATACACTAAATATTGTAAGATTGGTCTCAAATATTATTTACAACAATCATTGTAATAGCATTTGTTTCAAACTATATGTAAGATTATTATAGAAAACTAATTTTTAAAAATTTAATTCATTGATAATTTGATATAATTTCTGGAAATTATTTTAATCCAATTTTTGATTGTGTGCTATGAATATTAATTCAATTCAATTTATTGTTATTAAATATAATAACGTATCTTAAAATTTGTAAACATATATCAATCAATATATATAGTAAAATCAATATACTGTATAATAATGTTAACTAAAAAACAACTTAAAAGATGCAATTCATTAGCAAATAATACAAATGATGAAGATTTCAATAAATGTGATGAAGAGGGAGATCAGTGAGTGTGTCAGTCATTGTTAAATTATTTTTACATTTAATGACATTTTATTTGATAATAGTTTACTTCATTTGGCAGTTGTGGCCAACTTAGACATCCAAATAGTTAGCAATTTTTGTAATTTTATTGTTAATAACAGTAATAAAAAACTAATCAATTGTCGAAATAATTTATTACAAACTCCATTACATATCGCCTGTTGTATTGGAAATACAAGTCTTGTCAAAGTTTTACTGGATTTTGGCGCAGATATCAGTTCTGTCGATAGAAATATAGAAAATTCAATTCATTTATCCGTCAAATATGATCATAAAAGTTGTTTAGAAATATTAGTGTCAAAATGTGTCCAAAAAAACTATATTTTGAATTCTTTAAATATAAATGGATTGTCATCTTTGCATATGTGTGTCGATTGTGACCACAAATCTGCCGCAGAAATGATTAAAATCCTTGTAAAGACCGGCGCAGATATAAGTAAGTTATTGACAATATATTATTTTTATAACAAATTTTTTTACTTAATTATCATAAAAATTGAAAATAATTATTGAGAAATTTTTTAATTTTAATCATTAGATGTTAGGGACGGTCTATCAGGACGAACCCCATTAATGTATTCATTGGCATACAATGGAAAGCAAAGTCATTCAATAAAAAAGATAATATTGTCACTCAATGCTGACATTTCTTTAGCCGATTTTTCAGGTTTTAGACCAATTGATATCATGCAAGACAATGATTTTGATGTTCACGATATACATCAAAAACTATAAAGTAATTATTATTAACTATAATATTTATATATATATATAATTTATTAATATAAATATTAAAAATATAGTTAAAATTTAAAATTAAAAATTTTATAAATAGTATTAAAATCATATAAAACAATATTTTATACAAATAAATTTAAATAAAAAAAATTATTAACAAATTATTTGGTTCAACTTTTATCAACCGATTTAAAATTCATACTTATAAATTTATAAATTAAATTTATCTATACCGGTAAATGTTATTTTAAATAATAATTAAATAATATTTACATTATCATTATTATTAATCAACAATTTTAAAAGTTATTAAATAAAATGAGTCCTACCATAAGGTATAAAAATTTAAAACATCATTTTCACTCATTATTGTTTATAACAAAACTATCTATTTGTTTGTTTTTTTTTGTTGTTACAAAAAAATGAGATTTAAAATACTTGTTATGATAATTATAAGTATTATCATCTATGAATCCATTGATTGGCACAATTATTAAGATATAATAATTATATAATTACCGTATAAATAGCATAATAATTAAAAAGCATTTCTTTTGAAATATTGTCAAATAGTAATAGAAATAATTTGAGCAAATGTGCATATTTTATAAATAAGTTAAAATAGATTGAATAGACCCATGGTACATTTCGATTAAAATACTTATATTATTATTATTATGCGTAACAATATAACAATTTATTTATATTGTGACGGTTAAGATCACAATCAGTCAAAACCACTCATCTGAATCTGATTTTTTATGTCAATACAAAAAATTCTTTATTCGTCAAAATATTTTGATAATGAAGAATTATAAAACACTATTATATTACCGGTATATATATATTATTATTATTATTATTACAAATAATAGGTAATATTACGGTAATTTATGAAAACTTGAGGGCAATAATTTTAATAACGTTTTATTTTAATAGAGTATTGCAAAAATCAGTTTATAATAATAATTGATTTTCATCTACTCATCATAATATAAAAAAAATAATTAATAATTAAATAAACAGTGTATCGAAAGTGTCATTGGGTTTATTCAATCTTTTATTAAAATTTACTAAAATTTGTATTAAAAAGTTGAGCGATTTGTTCAATCATAGCTACGATTGTAATAAAATTTAATGAAAAGTTATGCTTAAAAATATCAAACTATAATTGTGTGTCTCCTGAATCACATAATTTATGAGTTTCAATGTAATCGATTAAACTTCTAAAAAGGAAATCAAACTGAGCCTGAAATATATCAAATCAATAGTATTAGACATTTAACATAATTAGATATATTTTTAACTCACTATAGTTTGAATCATACACTGCCGTTGAGAGCGTATGTATCGCACAGTTTGAAAAATATCGACTCTTTCTTCGCATTTGATTTGTTGTATTAATGAGGCAAACGCTACAAATACTGAAGAACGATCACCGCCACCACTACAGTGGATAACAATAGGTGACAAACAATTGGTGTTTGTGGCTAACGAGGCATCGACTAACTCAATGAGAGAAGCGGTAGAATCGGGAACAACGACACCACTTTTCCACCAAAGAAATTGAAATTGAATCACTCGCTGACAATCATTGGTCTATTGATTAAAAATATAATTTATCAAAAAAATAATAAAAAAAACAAATTGATTGAAAAGACCTTTTTGTGTGTCACTTCAAATATCCTTTTTATGTAGAATTGTGTCACTTCTTCGGCCAAGAACTTGACTTTGACGAACTCGCAGTCGAACTCTTCTGTAGGCCAATAACAATGACATTTGCTCTGTCCGTCGCCCAACTCTCCTAACATTACAAGAGTCGACACATTTTGTTCAGCTATTGTCCACCAAAATTCATTGACTGTGTGCTCCATTGGGTCTTGAGTTACAATGAAAGACAGTGTGTGATCGTATCCCTTAATTTTGTAAATATTTGTTAAATTAAATTAATAATTAATAAAAAATATTTTAATACTCGAATAAATGATGCGTTTATATAATAGGAGTTATCCTTTGATGGCAAAGGCGTCAAAATGACTCGATTAATGTCATCTAAAAATAGCAAAATTGTTAATAAGTTTAATAAATATTAGATAATTGTCTAATGATATTGTCTTACAAGGAATGATGAAATCATATCTATTTTTATTTTTGTTTATATCCATCATTCCGACTACACATGACTTGGGATCTTCAATCACATCATTTAATTTCTATAACATAACAATAAACATTATAATCACTTATTAAAACCAATTAACAACAACAAAAACTTACCTCGAATTCTGCAACCAATCCATTAACATTGCCATCAAATTTGTCTTTAAGTTGTCTATAATGATCTCTTAGATGACTGACCTCAACTTCTGTGTCGCCAAACTCAATGTATTCCATGACAGCCCGATAAACAAAAATGTATTGTTTAACTGACTGAACCAAATGATTTCTTTGATGTCTCAATTGTGATACGCACTCAAAGATGTTTATAACGGAAGAATTTTCGTTAATTTGCGATATTAATGAGTCTATTGCTATGAAAGTACCGGTTCTACCGACACCTGCAGAACAGTGAACTAATATGGGACCCATATCTGGACAATAGTATTCATTAACCCTTTTGATAAACCTTAAGAGCCAAGAGGGCTGTTCGGGTGCCAAGAAGTCGCGCCACATAACAAAATGAAAGTGTAATATCTCATGATTTTCGGTGCCATCGACTCTCTCGAGATTAAAACGACGGATAATATAATCGGAATATTTGTGAACATTCTTCAGACTAACTTTAAATAGATTTGATATTAATTTTGGCTGTTCTTCACTCCAATATTGTACGCATTTTATTCTTCCCTGTTCTTCAATGCCGGTCAACATCACTATAATCCTAAATAAACAACAAATTATATAATTAATAATTTAAGTCAATTATAAAATTCTTTGTTATATTACCGGCATTTCTGTTCATAAACAAGTCTCCAAAAGTCGTTAACAGTTTTCTATTTTAAAGATATTATGTATAATATAATAAATATTACTTATAATAATTTATAAAATATTTTCTAATAATATTAACATTATTGATAATAACAAATGATAATACAAAAACATTTAATATACATTATTATATTAGAGTACAACTAACCTGAATAGGTCCCTGAGCACAAATAAACATTTTACGCCTTTTATAGCCCTCAACATAATCTGCATTTATATAATCAGATCCGATAACACCATCGATTGCTGTCAATTGGACACGAGTTTGATCGTAACTTTTAATATCTGGATATCTATTTTTGGACAAATTTTCGGGTGCATCGCTTGCTGTAGTGGTTCGGTCGGAAAATTTTTCAGGAAGTGCTTCAAATTCTATCAAAAATAAATAAAAATTAATATATAATTGTATTTTTGTTTAACAATTGTTTAATACCCGCTTGGAATAAGAAATCGCTGTTTTGATGTTTCTCTTGAAATATCACAGGAAGACTATGAATAGGAATAGGAGTGGAAACCCATTTGTGAATTGAATTTAAATTAATATTATTAGAAATGTTTCCGTTCTTATGCTTATTAACTGTTCTCCTAATAAGTGCTGTTAATCCCATCCTCTCGTCTTCAGAAGCGGATGTCTCACTTGCTTTTCTCTGAATAAAACACAATACAGACGAAAGCAATACTAAAACCAAAAATAAACCGCAAATAATTCCGAAAAGTATTCCGTGTGTTGTGTCGGACAATGAAAATAATGAATAAGATTTGTCAATATTTGAAGAAATCAAACTAAGAGATGAGGTCTCAATTGGCTCAAAATAATTAGTTTGTTTAGTCAATAAAGTATTATTTGGTCCCAAAACTGTGAGCTCAATAAAACCGGTATAATTGGTGTTTGGAAATAACGTTCCGTCAAATATGTTATTTAATGACATCTCAAGAGTCGACTCATTAGCAGCAGTGGTGTCTGTAGTTAATCGTCGCGGAGAACGAGTTTCGTAATCCATAGTACAGTGATTAGAGTTTCCGTCGCCAATCACTATATTGTTGACCAAATTATCTGAATTAAACTCTTCTGCAATATAAGCACCTATTGAATACATATCTTCATATAATGACGAGTGGGTGTTACTATGCACCTGACTATATGTTGTTATATTGAGTTTAACGGGAGTGACAGGTAATATATGGGTAGCATTGAAATGATTTGGTAAACGAATTATTACTACTTTATAGCAAAGTATGGGTCCGTTTCTCTCAGACACTCGGGGTATATGTAGTTGTAAAAGACGACTAGATATACCTGAATTGTCATCAATTTTAACTTTTTCTAACTTAATGTTTGATGGCATTTGTATGGGAGTGCTGACCAATGAGGTACACATCGTTGAACTTGATATATGCGATAAGTGGCCACAACCCGATCGGTTGATTACGCAAACCCTAACCGTATAGTTTGTATTGGGTTTTATAACTAAATGCAATTCTGTTTGATTGACTGACACTTCAAAAGCTTCTTTGAATTGATCGATCACTTTCTGGTTGTTTGCATTTCTATACGTCGAAAATGCTTCAAATGTCACATTATATCCAATGACAGTCCCTCTGATATTGTCCGGTAAATCCCAAACAACAGTCGCGTTGTTAGTTAATCTTTGGCTATCGTAATAACAATTAAGTTTGACATTTCGTGGAGGATCTGATGATCCATCTAAAGTGACGGCATCTAAAATATCTGACCATTCACTACAACCGATTATAGAACAGGCCTTTACTTCAAACTCATAATGAGATCCCGAAATTAAGTTTGGCATAAATGTCATATAATTACTTCGGTTTTGGAAAGTACCTGAACTAACATTAAGAGTTTGGTTAGATATAACACTTCCTAATGAGTCGCGTAAAATCATGGCATAATGTGAAATCTGGGCGCCGTTGTCATGCGTCGGCCGTTTCCATCCAATCAATAGAGTTTCGTTAGTTTTAGAAAAGACATGAACTTCAGTGATCTTTGAGGGCACATCTGATTGCATCGTTATGTTCATTGATTTCCAGTCCGATCGACCCATTGAATTAATTGCCGCCAAACGGAAACCATATGTGGCACCGGGTGTCAGGTCTGTTACAATGAATGATTGTGAATCATTGGTCCCAATATTTTCCTCTTTGATAATCCAATCCGAATCGACAATACTGTAGTTTTTTATATGTAATTCAATCCTATCGACTACAAGATTGCCGTCATATATGACCTTCCAGTGGACGGCAGCTGAACGGGGATTCAAAGACTCAATTCGATCAAATTCAATGTCAGGCGTTTCAAAGACAATCAAATCAATCTGAGATTCACTGTTATTATAGTGATTGTCAGCTCTACACATATATGACCCGTTATCTGATCGCTTAAGAGATTCAATGCTGAGTATACTCTGTTGTGAAGTCTCATCATTGATGATGTCATCAATAAGAAGCCTTCCGTCGCTTTCAACTTCAATGGACTCATTGGTCAGCCATTTATACCACTTAATGGTTGCCTTTGGAAATGCCTTTACTTTGCAAATCAATTTAGCTTTTGAATCAAAGTTCTGTTCAAACACTCCATTGTCTGGTATTGTTGTCAATTGAAGCGGTGCTATAAATGTGACAAATTTAATACAATATTACATTTTGTCATTAAATATATGAAATGTTAGTCAATAAAAAAATATATAACAAACTAAATTGACTGAATATAATAAATGCTTAAATATTTTCTTTTTATATTTCATTTTATTTTATATTAATGTTTAGCCATATTTTAAGAAAAAAAAATACATACTAAAGATGGTAACATTTGTTTCTTTACGAGTGATTTGTTTGGATCCATTAATTTGCTGTCCATTGCAGACATAAATGCCGTCGTGAACTAACTGAACGGCACATTCAATGGTCAGCTTTGAGTGATTGGTGGCACTCGTGCTGTGACTATAGCTCTCGATTATGTCCGGTGTTTGACTAATATTTTGATTACGAAAAGTCCACCAAATATTGACAGTTTCATTAGAGTTGTCATTGATTTTGCATATAAGCTCTAATTTACTACAATTTGACAATAATTGTGAGTTAACTGTCAATTCCAGTGCATTTGTCTCTGAAATATTAGAGTAAAAGCAATAATTAAAAGAAAATTAATTAAATTATATATATATTATTCAATGAATCATTTCAACTATAAATGAAATATTAAAGCACTTCTTGTTTGTCAGGAAAGGAAAGGTTTGGAGTTTTATAAAAAGCATTTAGAAAAAGGAAGTCTCAATAAAATATAATATCAATAACTACAGTATATTCATAAAACCAATAATTTTAATGTCATTAAGACATTCATCTAAATTATGTCAAATCAATTCAAACAAAAATTAATGATTTTAGAGATTATGTTTATAGGTATTATTTATGCCATCTTTTTCCACGTTATTTGGATAAACTTGGTTTTAATATCTAATGTATTTTTTAAATGATAACATTTCAGACATTAATTATAAAGTGAAGAAAAACAAACATTAAAAGAGTGCACAAAAAGTGTGATATTTTATGTGATGAATGTAAGAGATAATGTAATATTTACAATAATATATATTATATATTATATTAAATATACGAATATTTACTAAATATATAATGTTATAAATAAAATAAAAATGCAAATCCATTAGACAGAGCCCAGGGGTAAGTAAGAGGAACTGCATATTAATGTAAGTAACTGTCAGAGCTTTTCTCGTATCGATTTAAGTAATAAATTCAATGCTATTTTTCTTTATGATATTTAATGTACCTAATAGTAAAATATTATAAAATGACATTATCTTTCATTTAAAAATTTTAAAAAATTATAATTAATTAGTAAACGAGCTCTTAATACTGCAATATTCTTGGCTTTATAATGAATCTTAATATTGTATTTACTGTTAAATGTTAATAATTTTATCAATAATCACAAATATAGAACAAAACAAGTATTCAGTAAATATATTGTAATACTGTATAAATAAAATATTGCATGAAATGTAAAAATAACACGACTTAGCAAAACAAATAATTGATACAAATATACACTATATTACTCACAATGTTAAGAATACATCAATTTGTAATTTATATCCCAATTTCATATTTTTATTCTCAATTCTAAGTTTACAAATTTATATTATTCATAAATTCATAATTAATATATAATTATAGAATATTCTTTATCTGCTTTTAAATATATAGAATATAAAAACAAATAAATTAAAAAGTAAGAAATATTTAATATTAATTATATATATCATCTACGATTAAAAAAATCATTTAATTATAACCAATATGTAACAATTGTGATCATTGTGATGATGTACAGTATTATCTAAATATAAATCTGAGCACAAATTCATATCATGAAATAACTGGTCTAATGTGGTAATGATGTCTCACAAATGTTAATCAAAAATAAATTTGTGTCAACCCATTACATGAGGTAATAGAAATAAGAAACACAATAATGAGATAAATGGAAATAGAGAAATAGAGAGAGAGAGAGAGAGAGAGAGAGAGAGAGAGAGAGAGAGAGAGAGAGAGAGAGAAATGTTGGCAAATGCTAGATATTTGGCAACAAATTTCTATATAAAATGCATTAAAGCTATGAAATGAGCCCATCTTCCCATCATTTGATCACTAAGAGCACAGGCAGTCATGGATAGTCAATGAAAGTCAGTCAATGGTAATGAATTGCAATGATTTGCCTTTAAATAAATTATTTATAATCACTTTGCTTTCATTTGAAAAAGGTTTTGCAAGAAAAGCAAAACACAATACAAAATATTAATATGAATTTATAATGAATACAACAAAATATAACAAATATAATATACAAATGTTTATGAAAAATACATTAATTCTACACATTGTATACACATTTCAATTGAATTTGGAGTTAGTCTCATATAATAATATTGATTTCTCAATAAATAAAAGCACTTTAAAGTCATATAACCGAAAGGTATTGTTGTCTAAAATAAAAAGTGAAGAAAAGTAGAGAAGTAAAGCAAAAAAAAAAACTACCAATCAATTGACCCAAACATACCATCAATGGCATCGGTATGGCTCTCAATACTTTCAATATATCATATATATATGAAACTATGTTTGTTATGATTTCTCTCAGAGACTGCTTCATTGTGATGTCCCGCAGCAATATATAAAATATATAAATTATATATATATACTGTCAATATAAATATGAGCTTTTATAAGGACAAAACTAAACATTTTTGTTACAATCATTACCATAATATAGACCAGAATTTATTGGATCTAATATTTCAAACAACAACGTGTATTCAATCAATAATAAGTTATAAGACATTTATACATTTATTCGTTGCTACCAATACTCCCGGTCTATGAAACATCATTCACATCATACGTATTGTATATTATAGTCAATAATAGCCTACATTAGAGTCAATGGCCGCTAAAAGTATGATAAATACGGTACAAATGCACTCAGAGATGATTCATGTCTTTAAATGTTTGTGTAATTTGATTCAAAATTGTCAATTAGATTCAAAATTGATATCAATAACGAAAAATTAATTTCATTATGTTATGTAACATATAGTATCAAATAAAACACAATACAATAGTAGAGTAAACTAATCATTTAGAAATCAACATTAATTATAACAATAAAATAGTATTTTTTATTTTTTAAAATTCAAAAAATTTCTAATAGCAGTAACATATCATACATATTGTACTAAATCTATATAATGTTTTAACCAAAAAGTTATACAAACGACAAAACAAATGTTAAATCTAGTGTATAATAGTTTGCAAAACTATTTGATCATCAATCATGTCATGTCTCGGATTTAGATATATTTATTCAATATATATATATATATATATATATAATTGTAGACAAAATAGGTGACTCACTTTTTTTTGGAAATAACTCTTTAGAATTGAATAACTAAGACTAAGGGATGAATACAATACATATATAGTACATACTAGAGGTCGGAACAGGAGCATATTTTAAGAACTGTTAAACAGTTCCGGTTTTTGACGGTTCTCCGAACCGAAACCATTTAGGTTCCGATCTCTAGTACATACAGTATATACTACTAATAAGTTACCAAATTAGTATGAATTAATTAATTGTTATATTTAAAAATGTAGAATTTAAATTTAAAGTATTATGATATACCATGAGCTATGACACTGTTGTTTTACAGAATGATAAGTTAAAATATAGGTTTTTGTGATGGGTCATTTTATTGTTAAACTGTTATTTTATTATCTAATATAAATTTTAAAATAATATACTTTCGGAGATAGGTTACTGGTTAGCTCATAGCAAACTGGAGCTATAAATATTATGCATTGAATTAATTATAGTATAGCAAACTGTTATCAACTGTACTTAGAAAGCATAGTTAAAATAAAAATATTTTTATTTAATTGTATTTCATTTTTGAGAAAAGTTATTCTAGAAAAATGTGTTTAACGTGTTTTGTCTGCAATTTTATATGTTTACTTCAAATATAACTATTATAAGAGAAGCATTGGTCAAAAATTTAGTCTTTTTTAAATATTAACAACTTATAAAATGATACATTTATTACACAATCAATATTATTATTGTTATTTAATTATGAGAATCATATGTTTGATTTTATAAATAGACAAATGATGATAAAATAATTGATTTACAAAATATTGTATCGCATTTCAACCAATATTGTTATATTTTTAAATGCAAACAATAACAAAAATTGCAATAAAATTATTTAAATTTAAATCGATTTTATAAAGCAATTTTACATGAATATATAAATAGCAAAATTATATGAATATATTTTTAATTTGTTTTGAATGTATTAATGTTGAAATATAATTGAAATTATTATAATCTAATATCCCATTCAATCATTGAATCATTTATTGATTGTCAGCACTCATTCAATGCCTTTATGTGAATACCATTTATATTGTAGAGAATCGACACAACAGTGAATAGCATTCATAATAACATAGAATTAAATCAATGCAAACACAGAATCGATTCGTGAAAAATAATGTTGTTTTTATTTGACCAGAATTTATATATAAAATATTTATTATTTTCTCCACTTATTTAAAACAATATTTATCAATTTAATGAGACAATTTTTTAATGGTAATACTATAATTGTGTATCATTAAATCATAAATGAATCACGTTTTGGTTATATAATATGAAATTGTTAGTAAAATAATAATATGTGACCAAACTTAAGCAATGTGTTGATTGAATTTATAAGTACCACAATTAAAATGCTGTCGCCTTTTAAATAGATAATTCCATTAAATACTGTATACACTACACAACATTAACTTATTTTATTAAAAATATTTCTTTAGAAAATTAAAGTATAGTATATTATAGTAATCATATCAAGTAAAGTATAGTGTAATAATAGATAATATTTTAAGGCTTAAGACACTGTTTCCTATTCAATATAATGGATGAATGAAAAAGGAGGACATATATTGTTGAGATATTTCAGTCATAATGTATTGTTATGAGTATTTCTAAATTAAAACAATAACTTTTGTAATTAATAAATTATGGCTAAATATAACTGAAAAATTGATTTAATAAACAACTAAATAAACAATATATTTATTAAAAATGAAATTAAAAAAGATAATTAATAAATCTTATATAATAATTAAAATTATATTTAAATAACAAGCGTATGTCAGATAAAAATTTTAAATTTTAATTTTATTTCATATTAAATGATTATAAACATATAATATCATTAAATTATGCTGAATTGTTATTTAGCATAATTAAAGATTGCCAATTTATAATTTTATAACATTTTATAGATTATTTTTTGAACTATAAGTGACAGATAGTTATATTTTTAGTAAATTTAATAACAAACTTTAAAGTACCGGTAATTGTATTATTAAGACATTTTAGTTGTAGTTTATATTTAGATTGTATAAATAGATTAATATTTATACTAAATATTTAATTATATTTTTTAGTTAAATTTTTATTTATAAACAAATAAATATTTGTTTAAACCTTTTCCTTACCAATAGTTATATAATTTATATTTAATATTATATTGATATTTATATACAGTATTATTACTTAAGTGTATAACAATATGAATAAGTTATATAAATAAAAAATATAAATATAATTAATAAATAAATAAATCTTAATAATATATTGTCATTATATAAATTTGAATATTTTATTAATAAATCATTTAATTAGAGACTGAGTTTTTTGTGGTAAAATTCATTCATATGTTTATTTGCTATTAATAAATATTCAACACATGTTTATTATAATAAGTACTGTATTATTAATATACAATAATTGCATAAACATTATTACATCTAATTAGAGTTCGATGAACATTCCAAGGGAAGTAAGTTCCCTAAAAAATCACTCCATTTTCCCGAAAAATATGGAAAATATTTTAACTTCCCTCCTTTGATCGTTAAAAAGGGTAAATATATTTTATATTATTACAATAAATAGTATCAAAACTTGCAAAAAAAAATATTGAAACATTTATAAATAAATTTAGTTTAGACTATTTACCAATACAACTTAAAATACAATTTAATATAATATTTGTTTTTCAAAAAATATAATAAAATGTGTGTTTAGTTTAATATGTGGTAATACAAGGAAATATATTCCCCAGGAATTGTCAGAGAGCAGCGAACATAAGGAACTTTTGGATAACAAAACAATGGAATCTGATCTAACCCTACATATAATTAGAGTATGTGCAACTTTCCAAGGGAGGGAAGTTCCCTAATAAAATCCCTCCAATTTTCCCTCCCTAGGCCCGTTAGAAAGGAAAATATATTTTGTATTTCTATAATTAATAATACCAAAACTTAATATTTTGCATAAAATTTCATTAAATATTTAAAAATAAATTTGATTTCAATGAATTTAGTAATACTATCTAACAATAGCACTCAAAATACAGTTAAATACAAGATTTGTTATTCAAATTTTATAATAAAATTTGCTGTTTATGGTTCAAGAGGTGGTAGGACTAGAAAATAGATTCCCTGGGAATTGTCAGTGAGGGGGGAAAATAGGAAGCTTTTGAATAATAAAACGACGGATCGATTTACCCGAACACTACATATAATACATTTGTCAATCATTTACAAGATTTTTCAGATTATATTATATTCAATTAGATTTAAGTTAAATCAGTTTTCATCAATTAAATAGATAATCAACTTTTTACACATATATTATTATACAATATATCAAATTAATTATAAAGTCAACCAATAGTAAAATGTTATCATAACAAACATATCAATGTAATTATGATAATATGATATATCATATAATTATTAACTCATCAATATATCAATCAATTAATGCTTCAATAAATGTCATTATAAATCATAAAAGTAAGAAACGACTAATTTTGTTGTCAATTAGATTTTGATTAAAAATAATAAAATCATATTAAATATTAAATACATGAATAATATGAATATATTGTAAAATGGATTGACATTAAGTGAATGATTAAAAGTATAGTAATTTGAATATTAATATAAATTTATAGCAATTATTAAGTGTTGGACTCAAATGTCATTTAAATCACTGATTGTATTCAATAGACATTCAATACATTGCATTGCATTCATATGACTACTGTTTATAGACTATTAATGTCAACAATAGAGACAAACGACTGATTGATTGCGGCTTTAAATCAATACAAAGTCATTGACAACTCATTTAATATTTAAATATCTTTTAATAGACTCACCATTAGTGCCATTAGTGGCGGTCAGTGATTGTGATGAAACAGTTGTGATGACCGACAATAATATGAGACACAACTCAACTAAATAGTAGACCATAACTGGTAATAATCACATCATCAATGACACCAAATATATTGATTGCATTATCACTAACAAACAGATGGTTATCGTATGGTTAAAGTGTGTCTCAATGGACATACATATCGGCATATTGTTTGTCATCAAAACCGATAATCAGTGGTAATCGTCAATCAATTGACTGACGAGTGCTTCACTCTTCTCAACACTAAAACATCACAACAACTATACAGTCATTTGACTACTGCTCCCACTCTATACACTGTATACAGTCTACTACTGTATATACTGTACGGTATGTATAGCTCACACACACACTCACTCACTCATTCACTCAATACATAAAATATATAATATTTATTTTGATATAACCGGAGGGCATATTTATGACAACAAACTAATGCTAATTATTGTCGTATAGTTTTTTATATAAGAGTTTTATATCATTTCACTTAATATTTGTTTCGCTTTCAACAATTAATTGCAACTTAAAAGTAGTGTTATATTATTATTATTTGTTATAGCCTTTGTAATCACAATTCATGTCATAACAATAAAATATATTTATTACAACAATTTTTAATATAAAAACTAATTAATTACTTAATTATAATATAAATTATATAAAAATATTGTATATATTTATTTTTGTACATAAATTTAATTATCATTGTTGTAGATTATATTTAACTGTTAATAACAATTTCAATAAAAATATATTTCTTTAACACATTTATTAATAAATAAATGCTTGAATGCACTTCTGTTTTCCTTATAGTCTATTAAGTCTTATGAGTTTATCAGTAAAAAACCAAAATTATTTATATTTATAACTTTGATTTAAAAGAGGAAAATAATTTCTCTGCTTTCATAGCGACAGATATATTGCCTTTAATTTTAAGTTTTCCGGCCATAAAAGCATTAGTTGGCTTCAACTCTCCTCTAACCATCTTTTCAAAGGTCTCATCGTCGGTAATAAGAGTTACATCAGCGCTAGTGGTTTCAGTCTTCTCCACTTTAAGTGGTCGGCTACTGTTGGCATCAATGAGCCAATTCTGACCCGATATGACAAATGCCAAACAAGCGTTTATATCTTTCTTGAGGTCATCACTAATTGAAGCTTTAATTCCGGCAAATATTTTATCAATTTTACCATCACTTGAGACTCCACTACTTTGAGTTTCATTACTATTGACATCTGCATACATGTCTACAACATTATCTCCTTTATTGGATTGAGATTCGGGTAGAAAAAAGTCGAGCATAAGTGTGTGTCCGGGTTTGACAGCGTATTGATTCAGATCTTGAATACCTTCACTGAGAAGGAAGTCTTCGTCAATCACAAAATTACCGGTAAATTGCTTAGAATTCTTCGAAAGTATTCCATAAGCAGAATCTGATAAAATGTCGACTTTTCGGCATTTATTAGCCATCTCTTCATTAGTACCGCCCAACATAGCCATAGCTGCCGTCCAAATTGCAGTCCGCGGCCATAAAGCATTAACAGCAATACCAACATCCTTGAGCTCATGAGACATACCCAACACACACATAGACATACCATACTTGGCCATAGTGTAGGCCACGTGATTCTTAAACCACTTGGGAGTCATTACAAGAGGTGGACTTAAATTTAAAATATGTGGATTTAATGCCTTTTTGAGATGAGGAATGGCGTACTTTGAACACATGAAAGTCCCCCGAGTGTTGATTGTATGCATCAAATCATACTTCTTCATTGTTGTTTCTTCAGTACCTTTAATTCAATTGACACATAACAACAAAATTAATGCAAATATTATATCATTTCGTCAAATACCTGTTAAAGAGATAGCACTCGCGTTATTGACTAACACATCGAGACCTCCGAAGTGATTAACAGTCTTTTCCAAAGCATTTTTGACGGCCTCTTCATCTCTTAAATCGCATTGAATGGGAAGACATTTACCGCCGGCTTTCTCGACTATTGTATAATTTGATTGATAGTGATATAAATGAAAATAATACGTAATGAAGACAACAAACCTTCCTCAGCGGCCGAATATATAGTGCCCTCAAGTTTTGGATGTATATCAACAGTTTTGGCAGCGATGGCCACATTTGCGCCGTCTTTGGCCAATTTGACTGCTATTGCTTTGCCGATACCACGACTGCCACCGCTTATGAAAATAGTTTTTCCGGCAAATACTCTGTCATTGCATTAAATCAATGTTTATTTTAATTATTTGTTTAGTATTTATCAATTAATTTGGTAAACATTTTAAAAGCAATACAAACCCAGTGTTTAACATTGTTTTATATATGATATCAATTGATGACTACTATTGTGACAAAACTTTTGTAATCAAAACAAACAATTTGTTAAAAAATAATACAAATGAATGACAACTGATATTAAATTTATATATAATTTGAATCCAATGTATGTTTAATTTATTTGACAATATTTTTCACTTAATTACAAAAAAATGGAACTTATGTTCAAAACAACACAACAACTCATCAATGATTGGCTTATATTAAAAATGTTGATAATATGTACAAAATTGTAGAGTATATGTAGCTATAGTTATGGACAGTTGGGTACAATTGGGGCTGTGTTTGGGTGAGTTGACTATAGCTTGAATGTAGTCTTTTTGTTGCATAAATAAGTTATTTGTCGTATATTTATAAATGAGATCCAATGAGAGTGTATTTGAGTGCAAATACAAACCAATCGCCCAAACGATCTCTTTTCGACCCATTATTGCATTCAAAACAAGTTTTATCCATATTTTTCACTAACTTTTTCAATGATAAACAAATTATCAATAAATATCATATCAAACAAAATAATATATTTAATAACAAAATATAATTTTTAACTTATAAGTAAATCTTACGAAAACTACAATTTTATTACTTTATATACCGGCAGTTAAATACAATTAGTTTAAGAAATTAATAAATCATTTATTTTTAAAAATATTTCCATAAGTTTTTAAAATTTTAATGACATCTGAAATATGAAAACTTAGTTTTTTAGTTTAAATGCTATATTGCTAATAATAATTTAGCAATATTTATTTAACACTAAAAATTATAAACACTTCCATGTTATTGTGTGATTCAGAAATAATATATTATATTTTAATATAATTATAATCAAAATTTTACATACAATTTATTTTGTTTTTTTAATTGTTTTTATTAATTATTTATATTTTATTAATTGTGATTTATTTTTAGTTTGTTTTATTAGAAAAAACATATTTAAAGCTTAACTTATATTTTTTAAATAAATAGTTATTTATACATTACTTTAAACACAGTAAAAAATCAAAATTAAAAATAATTTGTAAAATAATTATAACAAATTAAAAAAAAATGAAAGTTGTGATAAAAATCTAATTAATTAACGATCTTTAGTTTAAATAATATTTTTGTTAAATTTTTTAAATAAGTTTTCTAAATCTTAAGAATTATTTTTTGATTACAGGAAATAAAAATGTAATTTTAAACTAAAAAAGAATTATTTAATTCAATATTAACTGCAAAACTACTAATGATTTTATAACTTTAATAAATAACGGATTTAGTGCACTAATTCACTCCCATATTATTATGTGATTCAAAAATAATAATAAAGTATATTATTATAAGTATTTATTTCATAATATTGTTGTACAATACATTTCATTAATTTTAATAAGGGTACAAATAAATAATTAAAATGCATTTATTTAGTCAATGAAATTATAAAATGTTAATTTATGATGAGATTAAAGTAAAAAAGTGAAGATTTGGCGGAACAAGTGGTTATACCACTACTTAAGGACATTTGCGATCGACCTGTCCTTTACCTCCTTCTTCATACTCTTGTTTAGAAATCCACATTTGTTGAAAAGTACCCTAAAATATAATAAATATTTATAATTATTAATAAATATAATTGATATATCGGTAACTTTATTGTTGATAATTCAAACATACAAGTGATGCCAAAATAGATCCTCCAATCCAAGCGCCATAACGTCGTTCAGCCGTCGAGTTTGTGCTCAAAACTTTAAGTCTCATACTCTGTGGTTAATATATATATATATAAATATTAATTAATGATAAAACAATATACCGGTAATAATAACTTGTAATTTGACGTACGGGTGGAGTCTTAGTGGATAAATCTCTAGTAAGACGATCAGTGAAACCTTGGATAAGAGTATTACCTCCCGTCACAATAACAGAGCCATAAAGTGATGGTCTAATATCAATGTCACACATTCCAACACTTGTGGTGACAATCTGCGACATTCCCATAACAGAAGCGGTAATACCTTTAATATTCATTGTGTCGAACAGAGCTTCTGGTATTAAAAATCGTTCGGAACCAAAGTCTTGATTATATCCATTGGGGAACTCGTAGTGAACGGTTGGTATATTATCGGCCATTTCCTTATCATAAGGCGAATCACTCACCTGAAGGCATGAGGCCTGAAAGTCTTGAATCACTTCTTTGACCATATAATTTTGCCACGTCTTCGTCAGTCCTTCAGTTGGAACAGTTGTTCTTCGTGTCCACTTTGCAGGTTCACCCTCTTTAACAACCTCTTTAGATCCAATTGCATAATATGGCACAACTTCGACGTTGTGCTCTTCAAAATAGTTTTTGCATTGCATTGTTATGAAATCTCCTCCGAGTGGAGACTTGACAATTGCTTGCTGTATGACATAACCGTCGTGTACGGGAACAGCCGATGTCTGACTGCTGCCCGAATCCAAAACAATACCAGTGGCTCTCCCGTTGGCAAATGCGGCCAAAACAGCATTTTTCACCAAAAAGAAAGCGGGAATTCCGTACTTTTCAAACATAATTTCCGTTATCTTCTCTCTCTTTGCCCTAACGTTCCACTAAATTGACAAATCATTGGTTAAGTGTTGAAAACAATTACTAAAAGATATTCACAAACCGACGCTTCAGAGAACAGAACCGGATGTAACATTGAATCCGATTTCAAATGTTTTTTGTACGTGTAATCCATAATATTTTCAAACAGATCCCAATCCTCAACTTCAAGCAAATAATATACAAATTTGTGGTTCAAATATATGATAAAAGTGTAAAATAATTGTTAATCATTACTCATCCCGTCCTTCAAGAAAGTGGTCATTTCCATGCCTTTTCGCGGCGAATGAATAGCAGTCGTATCGATCGAGTACTTCTTCTGTGTCTGTGATTGTTGTCCATCGATGTCCATAGCATTGGTCTCTACAAAGTCATTGATGGCGCCCACCATCGTTGGTATCTCGGCTTTAGGTGAGTCTTCACCGGCATATCCGCCGCGTATAGAGTAGTGTCCGATGTCGAAGACAAGGGCTCCGACTTCGTCTGTTTAGTAAAGACATCAAATGTTATGTCTGTGTCATTAATACTAAGCCCACCCCTAATGTCATACCTCCTCCATAAACCCCTCCACTCATCACTTAATGACAATAATTCACTGAAATTACAATCAAATCAAAACAATTGTCTCTCTTTTAATAAATGTTTTGAAAGCATTGAACGCATGCGCTGTCAATACAATCAAATGTGTTGAATATTAATGATTAAGTCATTTATTATTTTATATTTAATTTATTGATTTAATTGGATTTTTAAAATTTGATAAATTTTACATTTTTTTTATTTATTATATATTAATTTTCATTTAATTAAATTAAAATATAAACAATAATAATAATTATTATTAAAAATTGACAAAAATGCCCTCTTTTGGCTAAATTATAAAAACGATACAATATTGTAATACATGTGTAAATTATATAATTTAATAAACCGCTAATTAACGTAAAAATTTAAAATTGATATCAATTTTAAATAAATGATTTAAAAATAATGAGTTTAGTAAATAACAAATAATTTTAATTTGATTATGTAATAAATATTTGAAGTGATTTTTATTTTTAATTAATTCAATTTTTTATTTTTTGTTTTGTTTTTAAATGTTTACAAATCAAAATTACTACATTTGAGGTATTAATTTATTTTAGTTAATTTGATTAAATATATAATTTTTAGAAACTATTATATATTTTAATATCAATTAAAACTTAATAATATATTCATTACATTTGTTTGACTTAATAATAAATTAATTATTAAACTGTTTTATCAAATATCAAACACACCTCATATGTTAAATGTATTGTTATTTTTATTATCACTAATTTTAGTATACAATACATTGTATTTAAATAACATTTTAATAGTAAAATGGATATAAATATTTTGTTTTTTATTTATTAAATTTCTAATTAGAAATGATATAAATGACATATTTTTGGCACATTTAGTGCTTCAGATATATATCATATGATTAGTTATTAGTATGAAATGTATTATTAATTCATATAAAAAATATGATTATAATTAGTGTCCAATACGTCATTGAATGCATTAATTGTCTAAAATTACATATAAAATCATAGCAGTGTTAAGGCTTGCATTGAAATTTGATTTTATGTTTAAATATATCGTACAATAAATGCGAGTCATATCATAGTCTTTGCTATTTTAAAGTGTTTTTTAATCGTAAGCTTAAAATAGGCCTCAATTTAAGCAATTTATTTATATAACTCATGCATTGCTATTCAATTGGCACTCAATGTGTCAATAAATATAAAGCCAAACATAAATCTTATATAAAATATAATTTAAAAATAAATAAAAATGTTTTCTATATTTATTGAAATATTTAAGTTAAGAATATTCTTTACAGATGTCTGACAATTGTTTGGATAATCAAAGAGATTGTTTTAAACCAATCTTTAAGTACTATAAGAATAATGAATACTTAAAATCATCAAACAATGAGATAATAGACTTTTTGAAAGTCGATTTAGAGACGAGACATGAAATCAAAGAGATTGCTATCAATAGAAACAACAATCGCTTTGATAGTCCTTTAATACAAGACTTTCGTGACATTAATAATTGGAAAATGTTTTCAATTGATTCAGTCGATGGACTACTTGTTGTGCCGCAGATATTGACTAAAGAGGCGTCAAACAAATGGTTTCATTATTTATTAAAAGAGTTGCCATACACTGAATGCGATCATTTGAAAGCAAATATATCACTGCCGCCAACACAAGACACAAATCTAAGATGGATTAGCTTTGGTTATCACCACAATTGGGACACCAAAATGTACGACGAATCCAATGACAGTCCTATACCCATACAAATACAGCAATTGTTTGAATACATAAGTCAATCGTTAGGATTTAATACATTCAATGGTCAATCAGGACTAATCAACTATTATAATAACGGCTCCACTTTATGTCCGCATTCCGATCACTCCGAACCCAATAAGACGGCACCACTTTTTAGCTTAAGTTTGGGATCAACTGCTATATTCCTCATCGGAGACACCACTAAATGGTCGACCAAACCCGTAGTTTCTATATATCTCAGAGATGGAGATTTGTTGATAATGTCGTCCCAAAGTAGACAAGCATTTCATGCTATTCCTAAAGTATTCAACGATTCAGTTAATTATAAACATGAAAAAGTCAAACGCATTAATATCAATATAAGACAAATGTCTTTGTAGTCATTTTTCAATTGTTTAAATTTGTTATTAATTATCATTATTATTAAAAGGACTTACAGTTTAGTCAAATTACAATTTTTAATAATTAAATTATTTATTTATTTATTTATTTTAAAAGCTGTAAAATCCTACTAAACGACTAGAGTTGATGAAAGTGTTTTTATATTGTATTTCAATTTAATTTATATATATATATATATATATTTATATATAATAATTTGTAATAAGCCCTAAACCATTCCAATTGTTAACTAAATTTTGTAATTTCAATAATAATTAATGGGTTTTTAGTTTTGTTTGACATGGTTTTGATGGTTTGCTGCCGATCCGTAGTATTAGGTAATAATAATAAAGTGTCTAAAAGTAATTAATATCACTATTTACAAGACGTGGCACTCAATCACTGTCCGAATGCATAATATTAATAAAAATTATAGAATTGTTTTTTTGGAGCAGAATATGAGTCCTGAAGTTAAACAATGATTTGAAACAAAGCAAAGAATTGCACCGAAAGGTAATGTTATTAATGGTTTTGTTGTCAACTGTTGAGCTCAAAAATGATGGTCATATTCATGGATATATCTTCTGTCAATTTCACTACTTTGATGAAAAAATATTGTTTAGTCTTTAGTTTTAAAACAATTTCATGGATTAGGTATCATATAATAACGGAAGCGATCGAATCGAGAATCGGTTTTCCCGAAAGTCGGGTAATTATTTTGCACTTCTTTGATTGAACGATTCGGTCATTTCAGTCTTCAATTGTGTCCATTTATGTGATGATTGAGCCAACAGTTGGGATAATAGTTTAATAATTATAATAAATGACTTATTTGTGAATTTGTCTTAAAAATCACTGAATTCTTTCGCACACTTTTCAGTGCTCGATATGCGCAGAGTCTCCTCTTCATAGTCATCAAAGTTGGACGTATCTCCCGGTCCTTTACATTTGGGCAGAAATGGCGCCTCAACCTAACGACAGCACCGGATAGGGACACAGAAAAATGAAATATATGTATAAATTAGACGATAATTATATTATGAGAAACACTTTAGGGCTAAAATTCTTTGAATTCTTCACAGAATGAGTTCTCGACATTTCGTCGATTGAATACAGATTTCGGAAGTTCTTCGTATTGTTCAAAATGACGAGTGTCTCCGCTATGTGTTAGCTTAGGCACCAGAGGCACTCTCGGCGACTAATGGTCAATAAGTGCAGGATATGGGTCAGTACGTGCAGGTCATGGGTGTGTGAGGTACGTGCAGGTTTGAGCATGCATTGGGTGTCAAGTGAGCCATAAGTATTAGTATGAAAATTAATATTTTGAAAATTTTGTTAATTGTGAAATACATAACATGCAAATAAAAAGAAGTAAAAATTATTTTTAAAAACTAAGATTAAAATGAAATTTTAAAAAATGCATTAAAACATTGGTTTGGTTAGTAATAAGCAGTCATTCAAATGAAATTTGGCATAAAATATATTAAATAAAACAAACCTTTTTCTGATAGACAGCAATCCAATCGGTAGAACTAAACCATCGATGGTTTTTTATGTCATTAACTCCGTTCTTAAGATTGCCATAACGTTTGGTTAAGTCGACTTGTAATAGGTTTCGTAACAATTCTTTCAATTCTGAACTAAAATGTGAAGGAAATCGGACTTTTCCGGACACTATCTTCTCATATATTTGAATCGGTTGATCGGCAAAGAAAGGCGGATAGCCGGCTGCCATCTCGTATATCAATACCCCTAATGCCCACCAGTCTATCAATTGTTAAATTGAATGTTAATATATACTAATTAAATTAGTTTAGCATAATAAAATAACTCACCGACAGCTTTATTATAACCCTATTTTTAAATTTAAAAAAAAACAAACAAATTATAAATTTCATTATCAACACATTGTTTAAAGAAATACATACTTTGCTTAAAATAATTTCTGGGGCTAAGTATTCAGGTGTTCCACATAAAGTCCATGTCCTACCCTTTACACGTTTAGCAAAACCAAAGTCTGTTACCTAATGTATGAGCAAATGTTAAATTATTGACTAAATAAATGTATAATAATTCAATCAATACCTTGATGTATCCCTGCTGATCAATTAAAAGGTTTTCGGGCTTTAAATCCCGATAAATGAGATCTAAGTAATGCAAGTATTCAAACGCCAATACAATCTGTGCGGCATAAAATCTGGCCGCCTGTTCACTGTTTTATGCAATACAAACATTATTATTTTAAATAATTATAATTATAGTAATTAATAAAATTTAGCTCAAAGCACAAGCATTAGACAAAACAAAACAATTTTGAAATAAAAGAAAAACAATGGGAAAGGTGTGAGTGATATGAGATTAGGGTTTACCTAAATCTTCCACTTTTCCTGAGGTGTGAGAACATCTCTCCTCCCGGCACGTACTCCAACACCATATATAAGTAGGAATTGTCCTACAAAGCAATGCCAAACACACATTCACATACATTGTATACATTGCACAGTACATCACATTATCAATCATTTAGTATTATTACAGTATTATAAGTATATCAACACAGAGACAATATCTCATACATTCACAGCATATCAACAATATTTTGGTCAGTTGTGAGCAATAGACGAAAAATTAAAAGTTCAGTCAAAACACGATAGACAAAGAAGTAGTGTCTTTGAGCTTAATTTAGTAGTCATTATATGAGATAAACTGTACCTAAATTTTCCTATTCGTCTCAAATGAGAGAACAACTCCCCTCCCGGCACATAATCCATTACCATATATAAGTTACTATTATCCTAACAATCATTAAATCAATTTTATCAATCAAATTAACATCAAATCTAACAAAAAAAAATATTTTTATCTTTTTTTTGATTTGACTTTAAATTCAAGCAAAATTGCTTTTCTGTGTTTTATATATATATATATAATTACCATGATAAGTTGTAATGTAACTAAAATAAGCATGGTACCTTAAAATGTGCATCTAGATGAACCAGGAATGGGAAGTCTACTGCATGTAAAATTCGTTTCTCATTTAAAGTGTGTTCCACTTGTTTAAGTTTGACCACCTATTCAATCAAATTATAGTAATAATATTAATATTAATATTTCTAACAATTTATTACAAAACATTTATTATAGCTTTAATTATTATTAATTAAAATAATATTCAACTTTATTATTGCAATATTAAAATCAATGCTATAATTACTGTAATGATAACAATGTATAATAAAATATTTTAAATGTCGATTATAGTGTTATAAACTATTATATTAAGCAATTATAACATTTTTTCTTATAATAAGTGAGTTATATCTCAATAAAATTAATTTTATAGACAACTCAATACTTTGATCCTCAAGTATACTACAAATACTGTGCTATTTTTGAATTACCACTTAATGAGTAACTTAATGGCAACTATATTATCATATATACTACTCTATACACTGTATATCATTATAATATAACATACAATTAATTAATATTAATTAATTAATTGGTCGTACAATTGATATAAAAATCATAGCAAATAATAGCGTAAACTATGAAAACAATACTTTTTGTTTGTCGAGTATCTTCATAGCGAAGTATTTTCCCTGTTGTTGGTCACCTCCACCTCCAACTCCCTGTTTCCTCATCACAAGCATAACCCTACCGAAAGAGCCGGTTCCCAACGTCTTGATGCGCTCGTAGTCATCGAGTGATGCAGTGTTTGATGAAGGAGTCGACCATTTCTTCTCGAAGTCTTCTTTGGCTTTTTCCAGAAATTGCTTAACTGTTTAAATCAATTCAAATACAATAATATTAATAATGGTATCAAAAAATAGTAATAGATTTGTTTGTTTTGTCATCAATGGTACCATTTTCGGTGGGATCGCCCTTTTTAGATGTCGGGGCATTACCCATGACTGGCCACTAACACACTGTCCAACACTACTCATACATACATAACAAACATATATACAAACATAATATGATATCTCTATAAGTATTGCAATCAATGGTAACTCCAGTCAAACCTTCACTTAAATCACTCAAATGGCCGACACTTTGACACAATCGACACACAACTCAAACATATAGTCCTAACAACACATCAATTACGTCCTCTTATTCTATCATTAAATGCATACCTAAGCTAACAGTTTAATAAAAACCTATAAAAATATCATATAATATAATATAAGTTCATATTTGATAACTAATTGCTTGGTTACACACATTTACATTGCATTTCAATCACTAATATACTCATCATTTATAACATATTTATTACAAATGTATTTTCTATCACACATTCACTATATGTAGTGTCTATTAGATGCTATCATTTGTGTTCAACAATCAGGTGATTGTATTAATAGATTACAGCATATAATATATGAACCCTTTAAACATCACTAAAGCACCCAAAAATCTAGACTAACCATCTTAACAGGTAATACCTGTATTATATATGAATTAGAGGATTGGACACAGATAACTATAATACATGTATAAAACAAAATTAATATTATTATATTATGTATTTATAGTTTAAATAATATATTTAAAAATCAGTTGTAATCAATCAAACGTAAGTAATAACTAATATAAAAATTATTTATTCATTTGCATTTTTCGTTAAAATACTGAAAAATATAATCATTAATAAAATTATGAATATAATGTTATTTTGTAATCATGCAGTTCAATATGTAGTTATTTTTAAAGAAAAAATATACAAGTAAACTATTAGATGAAAAAATGCAGGAACATTCAAAATGATGTGGTCAGTCTAGCTTTTAGTTTTGATAAACTACAGGACATATATTTAGTTTATTTTTAAATATAAAACTAAAACCAGTTGAGAATGCTTCAAAAGCATTTCCATACGAACTCCTTAACTTAAAAAATCAACAACAAAAATAAAAAAATAATTTATAGCAGAGCCTGGATTCGAACCACTGACCTATGTGGGACAGACAGACAGACAGACAGACAGACTTATAGAATGAATATAATTACTCCTTTCAGGAGTTCGTGAAAAAATATAATTACAATATTAGGCGAAATAAGATTATAATAAAAGTTTAAATAAAAATCTCTCTAACGATATGCATAGAAATTATTATATTAAAAACTTAGTGTTAGTAAAAAATTATTGAAAAATATTATATATTGTAAATTTATTATATATTTTCTATATTTAGACTAAATATTTATAAAAAATTAATTTTAAATTTTACAAATCTAATTTTAATATTGTTTTCAAAAAGTAAATACAATATTTAAGTTATTTTATTTTATTTTTTTATAGTAAATATTTAATTGATTGTAATTTTAGATAATTATATATTTGAACATTTTATTAAATTAGTTTGATATATTATATAATAAATTTTTATAATAATATTTAGTTTTAATATTAATAATTGTATGAAATACGCCCCTTAATTGCATAATAATAAATAGTACTTGTACATAAATAAATGTGCATGCTACATTAATTTTCATAAATAGATTTTCTGATAAATTAAACTACTGTAAGGTATTTAAAGTACATATATCTAAATCAATGATATATACAAATTGCAATTCATTTAAGTATAAATACAATAAATAATATAAAAATAGAAAATAATCGAAATCTATAGACATATCCGGGATATTTGTCAACATGTCTTTCATTGCAATAATTGTAATAATAATAGTCTTAGATTACTAGTCTTAAAGAGACTGAGAAATATAATATTTTGTTAACTATTTATATTACATTTAAATATATACTTTATTTTATTACAACAAAATCATAATTTAATATATTATAAATAGTTTACCTAATACTTAATAAAAATACTGATACCGTATAAATAAATATAATTTTATTGTAAATTGTATAACATTAGCTATATATATATTGTATATATATACAGTATGGATTTACAAATATAATGTAAATATTAAAATATGACTTTTTACAATACGTCTACTTTTAACTGTTTTATAAATTTTAAATAATCAAAAAAGTATTGAAATAATTAAAATATTATATAAAATAGATTTTTAGAATGTCTACAATAGATCAATCAGTTTTTTATAATTATAAATTATTGTAATAAAATTAACTAATATTTGTAGTTATGATACATATTTGTAAAGTATAACTAATATATGTCTTTAAAATTATTTTGATTATTAATTAAAAAGTATTTGAATTTTATAAGAAATAATATAGAAATTCCATCGCTTATATACTCTTGAATATTTTTTAATAAAATATAAAAATGACAATTAAAATAATATTAAATACTTTTAATTATTTTAAACCAGTAAATCAAAATGATTATAAAAACTTTAAATTATAAAATATTATAAATATAATTAAGTTATTTCTAATATCACATTATAAGATACACTAACAGTTATTTTTAAATGTTATTCAATAATAATAATAATTTTTATTATGCGCAATCACTAATGTATAAAATAAAAAATGACTAATTAATTTTTATTAAAAATGTATGTTTTAAAAAATATATAATATAGTTTTATCACATTTGTTTTACAATATTTGTATTATTTATTTCAGATATAATGTAGCATGTTACTTTTCCCACATACATGTGCTCAGTAAGATAAAAGCCAAGTACTATATGTTATAACATTTTATAAAAAAAATCAATAACTAAATAAAAATGAATTAGAAAATAAATAAACTAAAAATATTATACAATTTTTGAACTAAGATATTAATTTCAATTTTTATATCATTTAATTTTAAATTTGATAGTATAATGTTTTTAATTGAAATTATTACAAATTAATTATTACTAGGGTTAGATTGAGATTCCCAGGGAGAGAAGTTCCCAAATAAAATCCCTCCAATTTTCCCGGAAAATATGGAAAATATATTATATTCCCTCCCTTGATCGTTAGAAAGGGAAAATATAATTTGTCATACATTATAAAGTACCTAATCTCAATGACTATGTGTTTCAATTGGGACCAGTATGTTAGCAATAACTCAATCAAAATATGATTCAAATATTATTAAACATTTAGTAAAAACATTAAATACATTTTGCAGTCATTTACTATACAAACGTGTTTTTAATTAAACATTATGTAATGTGAGTTATGGTACGATAGGTGGTACCACAAGGAAATGTCTTCCCAGGGAATTCCCAGGGAAGAGGGAATATAAGGAACTTATGGAAAATAAGACGAGGGAGGGAATCTGATCAAACCCTAATTATTACATATAAATGACCATATTTAAAAATTTAAAATGCTTATTATGTTATTTTCGCATAGTAGTATACGATAAAATTATTTGTATAATTAAATTTTAAACAATTTACTTTTTAAAATTAATTTTTAATTTTATTAAATTTCTTTAAACTTAATAAAATTATTATTTTAACATTATCATTATTATTTGAGCTATTTTATTGAGAAACTCGTAAATGTTTTAGACAATAGTATTATTATTTTATTTTGATTTATTTTACACATATCTGAAAATACTGTATTACAAACACCTAGATCATTTTACACAATAATATTATCATGCACTGTATTTGCAAACTTAAAACTCAATTGTATTTAATAACACCAATTAAACAATTTTGGATATTTTTATAAAATAATTATAGTTTTAATTTTAAAATCTATGTAAATGAAAATTCTTTTATATTGCATCTAAAGCATTGAAATAAGATTTTTAAATTTTTCATAATAAAAGTATAAGAATTTATTTAATATTTTTTTCATCGGTAATTATATTTTTTCATCTATAGGTATCATAATATAGTAATTTAATTTCCTTGAGATCTAAAGTATTAATTAATCAATTTTCAAGACATTTAATAATCATATGTAAATCAAAATAAATAAATTATAAAATGTGATTAAAAAACAAATATTTTATTGGAAATAAATATATTTCCTAACATTTTTCAAAGTTTTAAAATAAAAATAATTTTAAAAATTAACTATTAATATAATTGTTATATAAATGTTAAAATAAATAAACTCTTTTGTTGAAATTGCAGTTATTAAAAAAATGAGAATGCTATATAGCATTGCCAAAAACAAACTTTGATGACATAAATTACTTTTTATACAATCGAATTATAAGAAAAAAAATCATTACTGATATATATTATTCCTTATGAGTCATATTATGACCAAAATATACATTGATAATATGAGTGAGTTATTATGAATTATATTATATTTATTTTATACTATACTATACATAATTATATCTAATTTCACTTCTTTCAAAATTTTTAATAACTGGCGGCCATTTTGACTTTGCTAACGGCAAGATAGGCTAACACTTGTCTAACTTATAACACTTCTATTATACATTTAAAAGCTTTATATGAATTAATAGTCAAAATTTTAAGTCTGTTTTTATACTTTGGCCGCCATTTTGTCTATATTCCTCAAGAGGTGTTATTTTTATACTGATCCAAAATACCTTATTTTCGATGTTCTATCCAAATCTGAAGTCAGAATTTCAAATTCGCAAAAAACGCGACAAACACAGACACAGACAGACACATATGTTTTAGAAACAAACTTTTCTGAAAGTTTGTTTAAAAATTGTCAATTATTTTGTCAATATTTGTATGAAATGTTTACATTAAATAATACTTTATCAATCATTAATACTTAGAGAAATAGTGTCTCTCTATATACAAAATTTAATATGCATTTCAAGGATTGTCCTAAAATATAATACATTTTGGAAAGTTTGGATAAATTATGTTTATTAATAATTTACACAAAAAATTGTATGACTAATGAAATTTAAATGACAATATTTATTGTTAATATATTTTTAATTTCTTGAAAACTTAATTACTATTATCACACATATAATATATCGTTTTATAATTTATTTTAGTTATAAATCTACATTAATAAGTATATATAAATATGTTATACTTTTATCTAATTAAATATTAGTCATTTGGTTTAGTCATGTGTTTATATCATTAGTCTTCAAAAAAAATTTCTGTGAGCTTTACTTCTAATACAATATACGGATAAAAAGTTCGCACATTTCCGGTAAATCCTTTCACTGATAATATATAATACATTATTAAGAAAAACACCTTTTTATTGGTTTAGTTCTTCAAGTATTCAATCAATACTATTAATACTTACTTTCATTAGTTCATACACTATATAATGGTATTATAAGATATATACAGTAAATACAAATTTATATAATATTTAAACGTCTTTATTGAAGACAGTAATTGAAACAAATATTGTAATTTATGACAGTTTTATTTGAATTAAATTAAACAAATATGTTTTAAATATTTTAATTTTTATTTAATATATTTCATACTCATTAATATCGTTATACTTGAAATTTATTTAGAAAATACTATTTATTAAAGATTTTTGTTATAATTATACTAATCTTAAATAATAAAATATAAATAAATTCTAATTTCACAATATTTTTATACAAACATATAATATAAAATCACCTTGCAAGTTTACTAAAATATAAATCCCTGTCATTTATAACAGTCATTAGATTACAGCAAATATATATTATATTTTGTAAATAATAATATTTGACAAATTTGTTGATATATAGCTATAAAGAAAGTATAGAAATAAGCCATAAATCATCATTCATTGAAAAGCAAAAACACATTTGTTTATAAAAAAATCAATAAATATTATAAAAATATTAATACTGTATCTGTTATTTTAGATTATTAATAATTATATAATACGATAGTCAAAATACAATAAATTTTAATATGTTAAATATGTAAAAAACTAAATAAAAATTATATTTATAAAATCATTATCAATTAGTAAATAACAGATTATACTTTAAATTAAAGCAATTTGATTCAACAACAAAAAATGAACAAGCAAAATTTTGATTACATAATTTATGTCAAGAGATTATGTCATTTAAGTATAATTATTGCATAAACTATTTAAAATCAATTTAAATTTAGATTATGAATACAGTTTCAAAAACAAAACACTGTTTTCTATTTAAACTATAAATCATAGGGTTTTTTGTGGACTAAATTAAAACTATTTTTATATATCTTCCCATTTAAACTAAATTAAAAAGTAACTGAATGTTTATAATTAAATTTTTATTTGTATATTTATATACAATATATAAATATATAATATTTTTAACTAAATTATGTTATATATAAAGTTAATTTAAGTAATTTAAAATTATTTACTTATTTTCATTATTTTTCAAAATATCTTTGATGTGAAATAAGCGAATTTACATTTATGTAAGTCATATAAGAATATTTCAAATCAGCAGTTTTGTCGAGTGGTGTGTATATTATATATGTATGTGTGATGTGTGTGTGTGTGTGTGTGTGTGTGTGTGTGTGTGTGTGTGTGTGTGTGTGTGTGTGTGTGTGTGTGTGTGTGTGTGTGTAGATATCAAATAGTATATAATAAAATAATTTGAATGGATTTACTAATGATTTGTTAAGACTACTACAAATCATCGCATTATGACTTAATAAAAAAGAAATAATACTTAATAAATGGAAAGTCATGTTTATATTGATATTTTTTAGAAAATATCAATGAAATTGGAAATAGGAATTACTCTAAAAATAAAACTGATTAAATAACCTATATATTATATATTATATATTATATATATACAGTATTTATATATATATATAATAGTGTAACACTAATAGTACTGAACACAAGTGTAGTGTATTTGAAAAATCTTTAATCGTCAAGAGTATGTTATATATATATATATATACTGTACAGTATATAGTTGTGTTATAATCATCATAACAAGCACAGGGAGCAAACTCTCGACTCCTGTTTCATAGCTGTGTTACTAAAAATAGACACTCAGTTTGAAAGTCGGTTAGAAATAGGAACACAAAGTCTATTATATTAAAGAATATAAATGCAAATCAATTGAATAAAAAGTCAAAATGTGTTTCTCTAAGGTTTGCACTGATGATCATATCAAACAAATTTTAGAAACAGTTAGTTTAGGAAATTGATTAAAAGTTGACTTACAGTCAAAGGTGTCGCCTCCCTTATCCTTGACTTTAGGCATTCTTGATGTTAGCGACTTAATGACACTACTGGTAGCACTCAAACCACTGATGGCACCCGACTCACGACCGGTAGTCGTATCTCTAGAATTATTTACTTCTTGAACCAAATGATCAGTTGATTTGTTTTTCAAATTTGTTTTAATAAATGTATCGCTTTTGACACTTCCTCCACTTGAATGTATGTTATTGTGATGGTGTGTCTGTGCCGATGATGAATGGTTCGACTCATTGGTCGACTGACTACCCGACCGTCCCTGTGCTGCTTCCGATCGACTTTTATACTTGTGGTGTAACACTTGTGGTGACTCTTGTGTAGGATGACTGATGTGTTGCTGCACTGATGACACTACAGCCACTGATGGCTTCACTGACTGCTTGTCTTTGTGCGCACTCTTATCACTCCTATTATGCGATGCCTGCGCTCCAACTGATAGACTGTTATCACTATTTAATGTCTGACGATTTAGTCCAACTGATGGATTCAGTGACGAACCCGAACTCGAAGAATATGTCGATTCTTTACTTCCGTGAGATGTTTGTGACGTATGCGAAGCCTCAGACAATGAATACTTATTATACAATGAAGACGACTCTTTAAGACGACTGTCCAAATCAAGAGTTGATTGCGACTGTTCTTGAATTGATTTCGACTTAATCAGCACTACTATAATGTATTAATTAATGCAAAAATATAATTAGTTTTTAATTTAAATTCAATTTATGTTATATATAGAGTATATTTTCTATTTGTCTTATAAAACAACTTTAACGTTAAAAGCTTTACAAAAATATCTGTTTATTAAATTAAAAATATATTATTTTCAGTAAATAAGTTTCGTGTCATTTGTGTCACATTCACACTGATTTGACTAATTTTTCTCAAAACTTATATAACATATATAACAGTCTATTTACTAGTCATATCATTTCATATAGTGGTAAACATACAAACACACTATAAATAGTTAAAGAGGGGATCAAATAGTGACAAAAGTTTTCACTAAACAGTATGTATAGACATCACGCACTCCTCGTCCCAAACCATCTCTATTTCACTATCTATTCCTAAGCATAGCATCTCTATTAAACAACCCGTTCCTCTCCCAAGAGTGTAATTCCTAATATCAACAAATTAAAGTAAGATCTTATCAATGAAAACGATATTTTATATAAGTGTGTGTTTGTGATGTCAGCAAATGTATAAAAATAACTATAAAAACATAAATACTAAATACAGCACTTTATACTATAAACAAAATATAAATATAAACGCTTTTCAACAGAAAACATTCAAATTAAAGTTTAATGACATAATTATTTCAACAATAAAATTATATTCATTTCAATGTTGACTATTATTGCAATTTTGTGTTAATTATTGTTTTGCAAATTGTAAAACAATACATTAGATTTGGATGTCATACAAGACTTTTATTCCCAATAGTTAATCAATGTTAATCATCCTTGATACATTTTATATATTCCATATTTTCAACTAAATATATAAAAACAATATTTCAATACATTATCAAATTTATAGAATATTTGAAATTATTTATTTTTGTTATATAGATTTTAATATTTACTTACAATAGATATTAAACTACAATATATATATATATATTTAGCACACTTATAATATACAATATACCAATTTATAGATTTATAGATCGCAAATAAAATATTTAATAACTTAAAAAATAAAATCTGTTTAGTAACTTGTTTAAAATTCAAAATTTTAAATTTCAATAGTTTAAATAAACTGATTTATAAATACCATTTTTCTACACCTAACTGTTTTTTATTAATAATATTTAAATTTATTAAATATATTTACTGAATATAAATACCATTTGTATTTTAAAATATGTTATTTAACTAAAATTTTTATAAATTAATAGATATTTCAAGATATAATTCCTCCTTTAAAAATTGAAATTATTTTAATCAACATAAATCTGAGTCATTAAACTTATTGTTAAAATATTATATTATAACTACTCAAATCTTAACTTACTAACTTAAATAATGATTATAATAATGATATTTTTTATCATTCAACATATATTATAGTAAAATAATTTTTATACAATGTATTAAAATAACAATTATTTATTTAATCTAATATTATTTAATATTATTATTATTAGTTTCTGTAAGAATTACTGTATATTTTAAAGTATAAAAATATATATATTAATATATATTATATGTTTATCGTTATGCCATGAAATGAATTTTACAGTGCAATTGGTTAACATATATAAAAATAACTGAAACATAACTTTCATTTTACGATATAATGCATCTCTTATTACAAATGATATAATTTTCATTGCAGTTAAATAAAAGTTAAATAAATTTCATTATTGTATTATTTAATAAAAATTATTTTTAAACTAACAGACTTTTGTAAACTATTGTAAAATAGTACATAAATATTAACGATTGAACACTAATGTAAATACTATCTAAATATTTAAAAAACAAAATATTATTAAAAAATATTTTATTGATCTATTTTAATATACTCATACTTAGGTTGACGTTTTAGAACTGATTATTTGATAAAAAATATTTTGTATAATAATTTACTTTATATTTCATGAAAAGAGGATTTTAATAAAATCTCATGTATTATAAAGAATATTCTTCAAGAATATTAAGTACATGTTCTTAAGGAAAGCTAATTTAAATTTATTAAACTTTGAGACAAATTGAAACAACAATCACAGAAAATATTGATTGTTTAAAGAATTTTTTTTACCTCATTTGCAAATTGTGTTATAATATTGTTTAATAATGCAGTAAATATATTCACTAATAGTTTCAATTACACCAATTAATAATAATTATTTCTATAAAATGGCAAACAAATGGTTATCACAAATGAGTTATAATGATTACATGTCATCAAAAAATGAGTAGATCTTTGAAAACTATGAAAACATAGATATATGGAAACACCTGATGCAGAGGTTTGGTTGAAAATTTAGTTGAGATGATAGTCATGTATTCAAATGATAAAGTATTATATGAAATATAAAAAGACAAACTGTTTGTCAGATATGTGTCTCTTCGTATATTATCGTCATTTATACTGTAGTTTGAATATTGTGATACACAGAGAGCATAAAACGCAGAGAAAGAAAGAAAGAAAGAGAGAGAGAGAAAGAGAGAGAGAGAGAGAGAGAGAGAGAGAGAAAGAGATTGCGAGAGCAGTGAACGGGAGGATCAATCAATACAATTCATACGATCGCTTAGTATTACAGTATCTTTCATACATATAATAACACAATAAAATACTATTAAACAATGAAGTAAATGACTAAAAATATGAGATTTAAATTAATTAAAACTAATAATTGATAGAAATTTAGGTGATATTGAACACATCAATTGATGTCAACATAAAAAAGTGATGGTCAGTGATGTTGTTAAACACTTATTTATTTCTAACACATATAAACATATACACAGTCTTTATTAACTCGAAGACTATGAACTTATAGAGGAAAAGGCAGTTGAGTTGACATGAGATGAGATTGTTTGGATGTTTTGCCTGTTGTTCCTCTATTACCTACAAACTAGAGAACAGACACAACGAGTACCTGAGTCTATGAGCACATGCGCTGCACATCAATGGTAATAATCATCAAATCTCTCAACACTTGTAAGCATTGGATTTAGATTTACTATTATTTTTCATCATTCAATTCAACTAATGATTGTCTCAAAAATAAGATTTAACGTTAGTTCACAATCATTATCCATGCATTTCAACTATTTTATAGTAAATATATAATTAAATTCTTTTAATATGTAAAGAAATTTACAATTAATTATATTTATAATAAATAAACATATAATAGTTTAATGTCTATTAAATACACAATTAATTTTTTTAATATATATTTGTCATTATATAACTTATAAATTGATATACCAACAATAAATCATATTATACTTTGATAAAAAAATCTATAGTAAAATAACTCAATATTGAAAAAAAATCTACAAATATCGATCAATTTATTAAAATTTATAGCTTAGATATTGAATATTTTTATATTGCAATAAAACACTGCAAATACTTTAAAAATATTGTCTTAATTTTGTATTTATTAATGTATATAAATAAACGAGAAAACAGAAATTCTAAACTTAAAATATTTTATACTTATTAATAATTTTGTAAATATTATTTTATTTGTCACGAAAATATTGTATAAAATCCAGATTTTTATTACTAACTAAATGAAACTATTATTAACTAAAACATTATAATATTTGTAATTTTATAACAATGCTAAGACACTTAATACAAAATAAAAGATTTTAATGATATATACAATTAGAGATATAGGAAAATATTATATATACTTCTAATAAATTTAACTAAAATAATTTCTAGTAAATTCTTCAAGAATAAATTTTTATAGAAATTTTACTTTAATTATTAATTAAAATACTAAAAATATTTAATTATTAATTATAATCATAATCATAATGTATTGTTACAAAGATAATTAATATCGAGAGAACAGAACATAGACAGAAATATCTTTTGGAAACTTTCTAAAAATTTCTCCATTATCTTAAAAATTTTTGTTTTTTGCCAAAACTATATACATATATACTGTATATATATAATGTTTAAATATTTTATATTATGAACGGAATAATAGTATAATAAAAACAAATGTCAAAAAATTTAAGATATTGATAATTTAAATTAATTTTTCAATTAATAATAAATCAGATATTACTCTAGAATTATTAAAATAGAATTTTTAATGAATTTATGAAATATTATACAACATATTACAGTAAAACTAAAATAATTTAAATATTTATAGATTTAATTTAGATTTAAAATCATTTGATAAAATAGAATATAAACCATTTGATAGCAATAGAAAGCATTTATCAAATGAAACAGTAAGACGAAATAAACTCAACATTAGTCATGTAGGGTATCAAATAGCAATATTTTGATACTTATATTCTGTAATTTATCAAAATTTTAAATTAAATTGTATTTTTTAAAATTCGACCGCCATTTTGTTTTTAAATATAAAATATTTTTACAATTTATACTATATTTATATGCTTTATTAAAATCTAAACTTAAAATTAAAAAATTTTCTTTTAACTTTGGACGCCATTTTCTCTAAGTTCTTGAAAATGTAGAACATTTTTGACCCTGATCCTCTATATCTTATTTTTGACGCTTTATCCAAAACTAAAGTCAAAATTTGAAAAATTCAAAAAGTCCTGAACAGACTGTCGGACGGAAATATAGAATTCAGTTATAGGATGCACTACTTACAGGAGTTCGTGATAATCATAAAATCAATGGATATATCGACGCTTTAATTTGAAATAACGATTCAACTAAAATGTCATTTCTTGTTATAATTACATTTGCTTTTAGACAATATATTCAATAGAAACAAAATGTTGACATTTTATAGAAATAAATTTAATATGAAATTTAATAAAACTATAATTTTTGTAAAAATAATTATTTTGTTTTAACTCTACTTTAAGTTATAAACTAATATTAAGTAAATTCTCATTTATAAAAATATATGTAATTATTGTTTATAAATCACTGAAAAAGTCAAAGCGTATAAATTTATTGATTATTGTTGTATAATA